AAAAATTTGATGTTCTGTTGTAAAATACTACTAGCCGGCCACTGAAAGTTCAGGAAGATTTGAAAAGAATAAAAAAGATGATGAATTTTAAGCTCGGTAATAAAAAAAAATTTAAAAAAACCAACAGAAACATGTCCTTTCGTCTTTTCACGAGCGAGGCGTAGAAACTAGGATAGAGCGTGGAATCCGATGTTCGATTACTCATGGGGACTCAGGTTTTTCCCCTTTTGTTTTGAGCTCGTTAATAGACGAAAAAACGTCTTTCCTCAATGATTTTGTATTTTAGGCGTTTTCTGCAGTCATCAGACTGTTAAGCCTTTGAAATCAGATTTTCTGATCCGCGAAGGTCTTTGGCGAATTTCACAACAACCTTTGATTTTGAGGGTTTCTCGATGTCCATCCAAATTGAGTTCAAATAAAGAAATTTAAGAGACGTCACAAACTCCTCTTCCTAAACGAGGCTTCTTCTCATCAAAATGAGAAATCCATGCACAGCTGTACTCTCAACTAAAATGTGGAAGATTAAAGTCTCTATTCCATTGAAATTATATCAAATATTTTCCACTTTAGAAGTGCTGAAGTACATCTATTAAAACGATTTTGTTTTGCTCTTCAATAATCGGTCAGTTCAAGTGGTGCCTTAATCGTTTTTTGCTAGAATGGCAATTGAACGCAAGTTTCAGGGACGTTTGCAATAACAGTCTTACCATGGATGAGCTAAAACTATGATTTTTAGTGAAAATAAAACAAAACTAAACAAAAAGAAAAAATTCCTAGCATTCTAGATTTTTATTTTTCTATGTCAGAATTAGCACCCTCCGAAGGTCAATTTTTAATTTTAATTTAATTGCATTTTCTGCCTCTTAAAAAATGGAAAGGGCACGCATGAAGCGTCTGGAAAGTAAAATAGACAATTCTTCAAAAGTAAACCAACATCAACAACAAAAGCAATTGGAAACAATGGGGAATAATCAAGAGAATATAAACTTTATCCACTCTTAGGAAAAATTTAAGTCGATAGAATAATATTATAAAAATTAAAAAATTCGCTTCAACATCTTAAGTTCTCTTTTTACGACATTTTTTAAAAAGGAACTGCGAAATGTTTACTTAGTTACTTCTAGATGTCATAGTTTGATGAATCAAACTGCGGGAAATATAATGCATGACATTTATCATGACTGGGCGGTTTATATCTCTTATTATCTCAAAGGTCTATTGCTTTTGACAATCAATTTATTGATGTTTTTATTCAATCTTCTTCTTAAGACCTTTAGAGGAAAATTTTGTTATTTTTCTATCTGCGCCGGATATTTCGCAAGGGCAATCAAATTCAACTGTCGTGTCGGAAACCAATTGAAAAGAGTTTGTTTATTTAACTTTGTTTTTCCCCTTGCGTAGGAGAATTTACTTCTCGCTGCAGTTCGGATACTATTCCATGATTAGGCCCACTTTTTCTTCCCTTGTCGCATATTATGTACCGAAGTGTTGGGTACAAAAACATGTGATGGCTTATATAACACTGGTGGCTCAACCAGAACCAGTCGTTTTGGAAACTGAGCTTATTCATGGATACTTTTACGAAGGATCTCGATTGTCCAAAAATATACCACGCTCAATTTTTATATTAGTAAATTGTCATTTTTGCTTTTGAATTTTAAAGACGAAATAGATCATACTTCTAACCAAACGTGAGTCAAAATAAATTAAAATTGCTGCGCTGCTACAGAGCTCTGTCTATTATGGTCAAATATGTTTATCACAATTGTTTTATTCCTGTACAACGGCTGTATGGGTTGGTTCCTGTTTACATTATTCGTCGTCTTTTCAGAAAGTTCTTTAAAGCCGAAAAATGTGTCCCTCTGTGAATACTACAGTTGATGAAATACAAGTGTTCTGAGACGGCAACCAGAAGAAACATTTTTAAATTCAAGTGTGCTTAATTGTTTGTCAGAGAGTGACCTTAAAAATTCAGCTGAAGTCAAAACTGAATCGAGAAATTTGGGATTCAGGTTTCGATCATTGTAAAATACAAAAACACATACATAACGATTTAAAAGTCAAGAGTTCCCCCACTGCGTTTGTTGATCAGAGAATTGTCTATTTTAATTAACCCTTTTGTTCAAAAATGTGTTTTCGTGGAGTACTGAATATATTGCTCGTGCGGATAATCATGTGAAACAGTAGGGTGACGGTCAGTTCCAATCGCTTTCTGTCACCGCTACTACCGGTTCAGACATAACTAACGAAAATGTATCCCGCACGAACGTAGAGGATTTTGACTCCCTAGAATATGCCGACAAAATAAAGGGACGGGAAAAAAATTCAATGCTTGTCATTGGAAGAAAAAAAAAGAATATTGACTGAAATAGCGTTCTCATTAGCGTTTATTTTTCTTTAGATTATCGTTTGAAACCTTGTTGATTTCAATAAAGAAAATTTGGTCGGAGAATTGTTGAAAATAATTAAAAAAGACCCTGACTAGGAATTAGCGCTCAAGTAATAATAGCCCACAGTTTGAATTAAAATAAAACAATCTGCTAACAAACGAGTTGAAAAGAAATATAAAAAATAAAACAATATTTCGAATCAATAAAACACTCCATTTGTTTCCCAGTTACTCACGGGTGAGCCTCATGATGAAAACTCGTTCCACCCATATTTTCAGCTTGTCCGCGCGAGCAAGAAGCTAGTGAAAAAACTGTAATAACTTATGGCATTTAGATTCAGAACGATTAACTGTTATGATTTTCGTCGAAATCGTGTTTTGACCTGTTTCGGTGCAGTCTTAAGCCAGCCCATGGTCAAAATTAAAATAACACATCTTTGCTTACCAACAGATTGGTGATAATATTATTGTCCGTCGGTAAAAAATAACGTTGATTGTAATAATGATGACAAAAATACCTCAGTTGTGTCCCAGAAGCGCATTACTATTTTGAACAATTCGTGATGCAACTCTTGGCATCCTTCTGTCGTTGTAACTTAGAGTAATTCATTAAATTCGAGATAGAGTGCTTTTCTTTATTAAGATTTTAGTCTCGCGAGAGACTAGGATATTTTCTGGCGACCAAGCATCTCTTGGGAAATTGTTGAGATAGAGGATCATATTTTCTGAGTCCGGTCTAAATCATGAATTGTTCTGTTTCAGCATAGTTTTTAACAAGCCCATGGTCTGCATTAAGAGAAAGCAATTTGTAATCATAACAAAATGGAGAATTTATAATCGTCCATCGGTAAATTAGAACCGCAATGAATAACTCCATTTGTTTCCAAGTGACGCACTATTCAGCCTCTCCTTTAATTATGAAATTAGCGCCGCCTAATTTCATGTTTGTCCTCAGAAGCAAACGTTTGTCAAGAATAGTGCAGTACTTTATTGCGTTTAGGTGTAGTTGAATTTATTCGTTTATTTTATTTTTATTTTTTTAATTTTTTTTTCAATGATTAAAGTCGAGAACGAACCTTGATGTGTTTAAGAACAGTTTTCGACAAGCCCACGTTCTGAATTAAAAATAAACATTTGGCTGACAAACAGGTTGGGAAATAAATGATTGTCCGTCAGTGAAATAGAAATGTGATTGTAATCAATCGAATACCCTACTCTAAAACCCTATTTGCTTCTAACACACACGTATTTCGTACAAGTTTTGGCACCCCAATTCTCAGCTTTTCGCAAGTGTGCTTATAGTAAATATTGTAAAGTATTTAGATTTACTGTTAGGTCGAAAATGAAATATTTTATTGTGATTTCAGCAAAAACTCGATCTCGACGATCATTGCCTGGTAAGTTATGAGAGCACTGAGCTATAAATAGCTGACGTAAAGCGAAGATTTTGATCAGTGATTCAATCCCTTCGAATGAAAAAGGTTTACTTGAGCCGTTAATTAGATGAAATAAATAATTGGCAATTCCAAAAATCATTGAAAAAAACAGTTATTTGGAGCAATTTTCATATCCTTTTGATGTCGTACTAAACTAAGCTGTCTCCTTTGCGGATGTATCAAAATCACCCATAAAGCAAAAAAAAAAAAAACCATCCCGAGCTAAGTTTTAACCTACTGGCGGAGACACGGAAATGTCGTTTCATTTCTATCTCTATATTTAGACTGCTTCCCGTTATGTTTAGCCTTCCGTGACTGCCTCTCATGTTCCTGTTCCTTCAGAATTGCTATTTCAAGCAAAGGTATTCAGTCAAAAGACACTTAAAGGTTGCTGAAGCAAAGCTGTGGAGTTGCTTGCCACGTCAAATAAAAAAGAAAAGAGGAAAGCGGGCGAAAAATGCCGGTTTTGTATCCAAAACAGTAGATTAGATTCTTTTTGAAATCTAACTGTGACTGTGGGAACGGCACGGTGTGCTTTAGGGCGTTAATTTAAACTGAGCAGTTTTTGACAACTGTGTCGTTGATCAAAACTTTTTTTTTTATCTCCCTCGTCGAGGGAAGGAAGGAAAAACTCCAAGTCGAAAGACGTCATGTGGTGGGTCATCTCCCGAACGGACATGACAGAGATCCTTTCATCTGTGCCATGTTTACCACGGATGAAAAACTATCACAGTGTTTGACGGGCTTGAATCAATGCAATTGAACAAAATAAAACAACCTAGAGAGAACAGCTGACCGATTAACACCCTTTTCAATTTCCTCTCACTACCCTTAAGTGGGTTTATCTAGATCATTCACGCAAGCAAATACAGCTAATAAAGAATCATTGATCTCAGAAATAATACCATACGCTCAGCGTTTTTATCTCGGATTTTGCCAAACAATAGAGGCGTCACTTAAATTAAAGCGGCAAAATTATTGATGCCTTTCAAGAAATAAATAATGGCTATTCTAGGCAATATTGGAAGTGATTCTTCTTCGGCTAGCCCCTAAGAAATGAAAATAAAAAATACGATATGCTATTCAGCAAAACAGGAAACCTCTGAGACAGGAAACTCTTTGTTGAAAGCGCGCGCGCTGTAGCATTCAGCAGGTCCGCACCAGAGTGAGGCAGAGTGCGCACAAATGAGATAAGAAAATAAATAGGCTCTGTAATCAATTACTTGAAGATGTTAAAATGGTAGGGCAGATGGTCTGGTTAGTCATTTAATGAGAGACATTCGTCGTGGATTGTAAAGTGTAGAATGTGGTGGACTTTAGTGCTCCTTCTGATAAACTCCGCGAAATTTTCGTGGTGTAGTGGCGGTAGCAATGGCAAGGTAAGTTCTCATAGATCGCAAGCTAGTCTCCGTAGTTCTATCTCTTCGACGAGGATTCATAACTCAGTCGTAGTTTTTTCTTTTTTCGATAATTGTTATTCATAAATTTGTTTTGTAACATTTTAATTCTTTTCTTTGTACAGAGACTCGCGGAGCATCCTTTACCGAGATCTCTTCCTGAATCAAAGCTAAACGACTTGGCCCAGAGAACAGATTACGATGCCTTCTACAGCGATACTTTCATGAAAGGACTTTACCACGTCCGATACCCAGGAACACAGGGGCATCATAAAGTAAAAATGGTAAGAGAAAGACGGTAAAGCTCACCTCCGTAACGTATTCGAGTAAACAATCAGGCTACTTGTCTCAATTGCCGTTCGCGGAGTAATCTTTGTTTAAACCATTTCTCCTCTCGAACCATTGCGCTTTGATTGGCGCTCCTCAATTTTCACGAATCGTATTTCGAGTGAGTTTATTTTCCTGTGGGATCGTATTGAAGTCCTTTCTACAAACAATCGTAGTTCTTTACACTAACGTTACTGCTCTACCTGTTAAGTCAACAAAGCGATCAAACAAATCGAAGCGCGTTACGAATGTTTTATGCATCGGATTTGACATTGAAATATTTCCAATATTCGAACGTAATACAATATTCTTTGTATTGACACGGCTGTCGGTTGTTTTCCTTTCTAAAATTGTTTTCGGAAGCATTGCAAAACGGCTATCTTCAATTCAGTTCAGCTGTGCATGTTAACCAGTGTTTATCACATCGCCTGATCGAAACTAAATATCAATTTTCAACCGCTATCTTTCTCTTCTTGTGGTTTTCTACCTTGGGTCAGTTTGACTTTATATTGAAATAGCGGTTAAGGAGATTTTCACCCCAAAAGTATTTCGGTCATTCGATTATAATCCCATGAAAAGTAACACGCGGGGTGTAAGTCCAAATAATGGTAATTTCGAAAAGAATGGAATTCCCCGAAGCAATTCTTCTCCATAATTGCTTACAGCGCTAATCGCGTTAACAGACAATGAAAACAAGCTCAGCAAAATTGGCTGGCTTTTCAAATTTGTCTCACGCTGGAAAAAGTAGTACAATAATTATCCTGTATTTCTTTGATCTAAAATTTTTAATTCAACCAAGTCTGTATGTTTGTGATAGAAGGTGAAATTTATCTTTGGGGCCGTTTAGAGAAGAGATCATTAGAATTTTGTTAATTTTTGTAAATCTTAACAGAAAAAAAATTATGGGAAAAAAATGGTAGAAAGAGTTGATATAAGTTTGATTCCCAAAGTCTAAAGAAGAGAGAATCATTTTATGAATTTTCTTTGATAGTACTTTAAAATATAAATACTGTGAAGATAGATTGCCACTTTGAAATAAATATCATTTCTAGAATTATATAGTGCAGTTCAAGTTTCCTTGTCTGCTTGGAAACTGGCATGCCATGCAAATTTTTTAGTTAAAATCTAGAAATAAATTGAATGAAAAGATTGAAGCTCAGTATACATATTATGTATTATTTTTTGTAATTTTTGATATCCTATTGTGACCTTTTCTATTCAAAACTCTCTAGAAATTTTAAAAAATAGACAATAGGGAATTGTGTATTATCTCAACTTTAAATTCAAAATCATTCCATGTTTACATTTATCAAATTATCTCTAGAAGGATTTTGTTCTAACAAACTGTGTACATAAGGTTAGAGCAACAATAAATCAATGAAAGTGCTTGATATATATTTGTTTTCCAAGTCTTGGATATTAATTTTGTCAAATTGAGTAAATTGACCAATGTAGGTTTTTGCTCATTCTATTTTATCACGTCAGGATGTTATTAGTTTTATCAGGGGTAATTTGTCATATTTATGGAAATGAAATTCAATTTTTTGATTTAATTTACCATACGGTTAGCCACAAATGAAAATGATTTGCATCAAGTGTTACTTTTTCTTTCCTCAGAAGAGTGCTGTACATCCTCTCCTACTTTGCTAAACAGTGTGATACTTTTTTAGTTAGTTTTTTAAGCATTATGTAATATTTAACAACAAGTTCTCTTGACAGTTATCGAGTCTGTAGTTTCTCCAGTTTTACGTCAATATACAGGGCACTCAACTCATTTTTCTGGAAGTTTCCATTTGGCAAACTAAGGTCATTAAATATTTGCCAGAAATAGAATTTCAGTCATGAGAAGAAAAAAATCAAAAATAAAAGCATTTTTGAGTTATAAACTTATGATAATCTGTTCAAATTTCTACTCATTTCAACTAAAGACCATACACTGTCAGTATGAAAATCTAATTTCTTTGCTCAAAAAAGATATTAAATAAACTTCAAGGGGAAGCTAAACTGTTCCAATTAGAGTTAAAAATATAAGTTAAAACTGGAATCTTCTAGGACAGGATTATTTACAATATCAACAACAATGACAATGAAATACCCTATGTAACAGGTACCCAGTATGAAGATTTTTTCATAAAAGGTAATTTATCTTGAACTTCTTTTTCCCTTCTAATTTGTTTGCAAATCTTCATTGCAGTTTATAAAGAAAGCATTTGAAGACCTCAACTGGACAGTCACATTGGACGAATTTGATGCTCCTACTCCGTACGGTACTAAGCGCTTCACCAATGTAGTCGCCACCCTTAACCCCAATGCAAAAAGAAGGCTAATGCTAGCTGCACATTATGACTCCAAATACATGCGTGACAAATACTTTCTTGGTGCCACAGATTCAGCAATGCCTTGTGCAATGTTAATTGAAATTGCCAGAATTGTCACCCCTTTCTTCAAGGCACGGGAACAGCAAAAAGGGAACGTTCATGCAGATGAGGATGAGGTATGAAACAGTGTCCAACTATCCTTTTACACCTTAACATGAATATTCAAATTCTCCACACTTTTGTCTTTACATTTCCTTTAGTACTGACTAAGGAGAAATTGTTTGACAATCAGGAACTTCTTGAATTGATAATCAATTCCTTTATTCTCATGATCTTCATATTCAAATCAAGAGTGATAGTAGTGTAAAGAGAAATTAGAAGCCAGTTATACTTGTGAAATGAAGGATTTTAAAGAATTATAGCTATTGTCAATCAAGTTGATTGTAGCCCAGCAAGCTAATGTTAGCATGATGGGTGGCAAGCAAAGGTTTAACCCTTTAACTCCCAGATCAAATTTGTCATTCTCCTTACTGCCAACCATACAATTCATATAAATGTTAGTTCAGAAAACTTAGTATTGGATCAATTAATTAACCCCAAATTTATATTTTTTCATTATTCTCATCACTCATCTGGTTGATATTGTATTGATATTGCAAGGAGAAATTCTGCCTTGGTCACTCATGGGAGTTAAAGGTTTAAGGGCCAAGGAGGGTGAAAGATAAATGCGAGGGGGTAAAAAAGTGTGATGGGAGAGAGGGGTAAGAGTGAAAGAGTACAAAGAGGGGTGAGGAAAAGGGATAACACCTTTTAATTTTTTTTTCTTTATAGCAATCAGACACAACATTGCAGATGGTTTTCTTTGATGGTGAAGAAGCATGGGTTGAGTGGAGTTCAACAGACTCACTTTACGGCTCTCGACATCTTGCAGAGATGTGGAGCAATACGTCTCACCCACCAGATTCAAATACTACAATGATAGACACAATTGTAAGTAATTCTTACCTTAAAATATTTTTTAGAGGACTGAGATCCTTTGATACCCATGAGTGATTGCTATGTAGATTGCCCTGATTTTTTCAATGCTATTTCAAGTTGACTTTAGTGAGCTCAATTTTTTTGTCAGTTGCCATTTGATGACTGAAATCATGAGAACTTTTACCAGAAATATAAAAAAAAATATGATAGAATGTAGACTCCACTAAGTTATACCAAAAATGAAATCTTACTTGGTAGTCACTTTCAATCAGTTGTGGACATGCCTAAATTAATTCAAGGCAGAAAACCAATGGGCTAGAGGTTTATTTTAAAAGAGAAGAGGACATAACATCAATAATATAATATAATATAAAGTATAATAATATATTATGAATGTTTATCTTAGTTGTACACAAGACCATAGACACAGAGTAATTGAAAAATATTAGCTTGGTACATGCCCCTTCCCCTAGGTAGGCTAGGATTGTTTTCAAGTTTCTGCCTAGCTGTTTTTACAGCTGCATTGAGTGGAATGTTGGTAAACAACAATTCTACATCAAAGGACACCATGATCTCTCTTTCTTGAATCATTCTGTCACTGATGGGAGATACAAAGAGGGCTGATTTGGGCAGCATAAAATTTGAGCAACTTGTTAACAGGGATAAGATGTTAGTGAAATAAGCAGACAAATCATATGCAAAGGTGTTCATGCATGACACAATTGGTCTCAGAGGAATATCAGCTTTGTGAGTCTTCAGTAAAACTGTAGATTCTATCTAGGTGGCTGTTTTTGTTGTGGTCTGATTTTGTTGAAGATGGCCTCTGATAGATGTTTGATTTGTTTTGAGGTTAGCAGTTTCTTAGAAAACTCCTCCTTAGACTAATCATCAGATCTTTGTTTAAGAGCTGATATGGTCCTTTGTATATCAGAGAATACCTTGGTCTGATAGGTGTCAGCGTGTAAGACTACACCAGCACATCCTTAAAGTAATGGAGAACCTTAGTGGCTGGTCCCCTTTCTAGTGTTTAATGCATCTCACATTTATTTTGTAACGTTAGCCTCTAAATTAAGTGGTGATCATTTCCTTTATTCTCATGACCTTAACGTTTGATTCAGGAATGATATCACAAGAAGAAATTAGATGCAAGTTGCTCTAAAGGGTAAAAGGGTTGATTAGGAAAATAAATTTATGGAATTTTAAGGGTCAAACCAGTTTTCTGGCAGCTTTGATCTGAATTCAATATTAAATCACTTTTCTAGTAGAATACATTTACAATATTAAGTCTCACTTTAAAAACTCTGTGTCAACTGTCTTGAAGTCTGCCATCTTTTTGATTCTCTAGAAGAGTGCAAGAATTGTTTTTAGGATTTTAAAGGCAATTTGATGGATGTATAATATTCATCAATGTTTTTTATTTAAAACGTTAATGAATTAAAGACTCTAGAGCATTGCACATGCTTCAGTTCTCAGAAGGGTTCCTTCTGTTTACGTTGAATTGAAGTAACAATTCTTAATTTGTGCTTTTTTTTTCCAAAACAGAATGCCATGGTACTATTGGATCTGATTGGTGCAGCTAACCCAGTGTTTTATAACACTTTCAGAGAAACAAATGATTTATTTGAGAGATTACAGATGATTGGTTAGTGTATTTCACTCTGAACATGTTAATTGCAAACAGGAGATTTACTTTGTGAAGCATTTATGAAATGTAATGAAGCTCCATATTTAGGAGAGCAGGGATGATGGAGTGTTAAAACCATTCAATATTCTCTCTATCCCAGGAGCTGGTGTCACATGTGGTGTAGTTACATTTGTCTTTACCCACCTAATGGTTACCAAGCCTTAGAACAGGAGTGAGGCTAAGGTTGACCTTGTTATGATACAAACCTTGCTGCTTTTCAGATGCAAATTACTTTGTTATTATGCTAACTAGATACTGGTCTCTATCACAACAAGGTCACCTTCAACCCCACTCCAAATCAAAGGCTTGGCAACTAAGTACACAGCTGTTAAATGGCCGATTGTTTCATGGACTATACAAAACCAAATGAATTGATACAAATTTTTAAGGCCTTCAAAAACAGTATGATGAAATTTGACTTAAAAAAGTACTCTCTTTTAAATTTTGGTTTATGTGAAATACCTGTGAATTAGGTGGTGTGTCATTCTATTGTGTGATGTCACACATGAATAGCTAAGCATATGACACAATAAACTTGTATTGTATTGTATACAAAACATAATGAAACAAAGAAGAGTGAGGCAGTAAAAGACAATTTTGACTGAAAAATCGCTGCTACTACACTAGATGTAACAGACACAGAGAAAAAGAAAATAACAAACCAAGCCAAGATGTAAAAAATGCAAAATAATACCTAACATATGAAACAGAAGAAGCCCACCTAGTAGCAAAAGCTATAAGCTGAACAAAAAAACTAAACTAAGCAAAAAACTAAAGGCACAGAGAAAGACACTTACATGATCCTACATGTGGGTTGGGTATGATGTTGATTATTGCTCCAGGACTCTATATAAACCAACACTCAAAATTCTAATTTCACCTGGAGATAGATGATGAAAAAAGATCTTTTGGATGTATCATGGCTAATTCCATTTGTGATAGTTATTATTATAATTTTTATCATGATTGTTGTCAATATTATTTTGCATATCATTCTACACACATCAGGGTCAGAGAATTAAAGCATTCCATCCAAGACAAAAGTAACATGAGATTGTTAAACCTCTGATGTTACTCTAAAGTGTACAATTTGTAATAAAATCATTTTGTACTTTTGTCACTTTTAACCAGAACGTCGCCTACTGAGCAACCAGCAGATACATATACCACCCAACACCCAACAGCCATATTTCATTCAAGGGCTAATGGACAGAAGATATCTTGTTGAAGATGATCACATACCTTTCCTACGAAGAAGTAAGTAGTAAAAGCTGTTAGAGATTTCCTAGATTGTGAACCCTGAGGAAATGTTTAATATGTAGCCTATAGAGTACTCCCCAAGCTTCTTTCCCAAGAGCCATCTCATTGTCTCTAACTAAGGTTATATAGGTTGTATGAGCCAACTGCTCACAGAAGAGTACAAATAATGTGCCAGTCAAATACAAACATCTGCATGAGAATATACCACACAGATGAATAGTGCTTTTTGCACACACTGATTTGCTAGTTCAGATGTGAATAGCAAGTATTATATTCACCTTTGAGTTTAATTGTCAGACCATATCTTGGTATATTGAAAGATAAACTAATCTTTTTGTATCTGTATGTTATATACTTGAATGATTATTTACCTCAGCATTGTTGAAAGTGGTGGATATTTAGGTTGCAGCTTTGCAGCTCGGTAAATATCCACCACTGTTCACCTCCACTTCAGTGAGTAATTGTTAAATATTGTACAGTTATTTGAGCAGTAAGTTATTTTGTACTGTAATCCAATGCAAGAGTCATGCAAGACCTGTCACAAACTGCCTCTCTATTTGCTAAGCTTTTCCCACCTTAACCCTTTAACTCCCAAGATCTCATTAGTAATTCTCCTTACTGACTCTCATACAGTTCTTGTGATGTTAGTTTGGAGAATTTGGTATTGGATCAACTTATAATCTCCTTACTGATATTTTCCTCTATTCTCATCACTTGTCTGCTTGATATTGTATTGATATTGTAAGGAGAAATTCTGTCTTGGTCACTCATGGGAGTTAAAGGGTGAAAAGAAACTTGTGGATGAAATGAAGCAGTTGGGTAATCAATAACCTATTAGTTGTTTTGGTTTTCAGTTTTACTAAGTATTACAAGTATAAGGAGAAATTAAATGCTAGTCACTCTGCGGGGTGAAAGGACTAAAAGAGTCTAGTGGTGATTTTAACCCTTTAACCTGTAAGAGTGATTAGCACCTAATTTCTCCTTACAATATCATCCCTGAATCACACATTTAGGTTAGGAGAACGAAGGAAATGATCATCAACAAAAAGAAGCTCTTGACTGTTAAACAAATTCTCTTTGTCAGCACCTTAGGAAATGTAGAGAGCATAGTATGGAGAGTCTGCATACTGATGTTAGGGTGTAAAGGGTTAATTGATTATTATTGCAATGTTTGCAAAATATTTATTTTAATTTGACTTTATCATTTTAGATGTTAAAATACTGCACTTGATATCACTGCCATTCCCACCATGTTGGCATAAGGACTGTGATGCTCACGAAAGTATCGACGATGAAGTTGTGAAGGACTTGCTTAAAATCTTCCAAGTATTTGTGGTGGAATATTTTGGTCTTTCAGTGGTATAATGTAAGGAAAGTATTGCTTGTGCAGCAACCATTTTGACTTAAAGTTCAGGAGCACTTCATGGTATCATTCATCCCACAAAATATTTCGTGTTCTATCACCTTACCAAATCGTTTTTTCAAGGAAAGTGAAGAAAAATAAAATCCAAAGTCACTGATTGACCAGCAAAATTTGAATAGTTGAAAATATTTTTAGTCACTATATTTTTAAAAAGATGTGTTGAAGATTTTGTTTTGATTACAAATTATTTGTACCCAAATTTCTTACATGGTTATGATGATGGAGAAAGGAAGTTTTTTTTAATGCCCGAAAAAAAAAAAAAAAATTAGTAAGCAGAGTCTGTGCTCAGTAAGGTTCTTCTTGAACGTAGGCTCCAGTAGTAAGCACTTTTCCTTTCTTTTCTATTGTTTCTTATCTTTTCTTTTTTCTTTCTTTCTTTCTTTTTTTTTTTTTTTTTTTTTTTTTTTGACCCAAGTGACCAACCCTCATTAATGAAATAAAAGGTGATGGAAAACAAAACATTTTATGGGTATGGCATTACAAGCAATCAAAGTATTATTTCCTTTGTGTGAAAGCTCTGGACACATGGTGATATACAAGACTCAATCTTGTTAAACAAATTTCTTCATGTCACATACAGTATTGTATTTATCTGATAGATTTTTAGTTTTATTGTAGGGCAAGAGATTCTATATGACCAAAGAGAAATTTTCAACCACTTTTGAGAGCTAAAAAAATTGACTGAAATATTAATTTATTGATTTAACTATAGCAATATCTGTGAGCTAATTATGATAATAATTTACTGAGAAATATTGATCTTTGATAGGGCCCAACAATAATGAAAATAGGAATCAGTGGGGGGCTTTGAAACTTATCAAGTGTAATTTTTGAATCTTTCATTTCCAAGACCTGAGCATTTTTTCTTTCAAAATGATCTCACAACCTTTATCCTAGTCAAAGTCTCAAGATTATAAGGAGTGGGGAAGTCAGTTCTTGTTGGCCAATCTACATCATCAACACAGTCAATAAAACCAAATTATTTTTTTATACCCCCAGTTAGAGCAACACCACAGTTTCTTTAGAAACTAACTCCATTTATTTATCTGTTTTAGAGAATGTTAACATAAAAGATTTCTTGAAAGTGGAAATGAATCCAACTGAAAGATTGCCATAAAAATTTCATGTATACTCCCTTCCTTGACAAAAATGAGAAAAGTCTTTTCAAGCAAAATATTGAATTTTTAAAAATTTTAATACTAAAATAAAACTATTGGTGATTTAGAAAAGGAAATGAATCAATTTACCACAACTTGTGACAGAAGTGGTTTTGACTTGATATATCATCTTCTGTGACAAATGTTAAACATCTTCACTTTTTTTCCAATTCATTTTTATCAGTTTGCAGAAATTATAAGGTGATTTACATGTAAGAATAGAAACAGTTAGAGAAATGTATCTTTAACATTATAACTATTGATTAGAATATCATGAATTCTTTTAATTGCACAATTTTTAAAGTACAGAAAATGTTAATTGTATATGGGATGAAAATTTCATTTTCTGTGTGAAAGCACTTTTCCCTAAATTTAGTGATGGTAATATCAAAATTACTTCAAGTGCATTGAGGGAAAATCCTCAAATTAAGAATATTGAATTCATTTTACAATTAGGTGGTAAACTGTTGTCCACTTTCAAAATTTACAGTTTATTTCATAAGCAATCACAATAAAAGGCTTTTTTCAAAACCTTGCCTTTTGAGGTGTCTACAGTAAATGTAGTATGTTTGTAGTATATTGAAGACCAGTTCTACAGACCCCAAAAATTTTTGCACAAAGCAAGAGAACATACAACAAAAATCTTGGGAATAAACCCTTTTACACCAAATTGTTTATGCTGTAGAGCCTGCCGTGTCAACCCTTTACACCCTAACATTGGTATTCATGTTCTCTGTACTCTCATGTATACACCTCCTTTGGTACTGACAAGGAGAATTTGCTAAACAATCAAAGTTTTTTAGGTTGGTGATCATTTCCTTTATTCTTACACGATCTTTATGCATGATTCAGCAGTTACTGTGAAACTGTAGGAGTAAAGGAAATTACTTGCTGGTCATTCTTGGGGTTTAAGGTGTTCAAGACTATTTCTTCATGCTGAATTACAAATGATTGAAATTAGGCTTTTTAAGGATTGGAACTTATGCCAACCTCTCTTTTGCCTTTAAAGACCCTAAGGTTTTGTGGCACATTTTATAGCTGTACCATAAATTCTTGTTCCAGGGAAGCCAGGCACTCTCAGGGTTTAATCCTTTCAGTCCCTAGATCTCCTTAGTAATTCTCCTTACCATCTGCTATACAATTCTTATGATGTTAGTTTCGAGAATTTGGTGTTGGATCAACAAACAATCCCCTAATTAAAATATTTGTTTATTCTCATCACTTGTTTTTTTTTATTGTACCGATATTCAATGACTGTGAATATATGAAAATCAAATAATTAACTCTTTCACTCCCAAGATCTAATTAGTAATTCTCCTTACTATCTGCCATACAATTCTTATGATGTTAGTTCAGAGAATTTGGTATTGGATCATCTAATCATCCCATGATCGACATTCTTCTCTATTCTCATCACTTGCCTGCTTGATATTGTATTGATATTGTAAGGAGAAATTCTGTCTTGGTCACTTGTGGGGGTGAAAGGGTTAAGTGAAATGCGGTTTGAGAAATGGACTGTATGAGGGTGATGTTCATGGTGATGAACATTACTTAAGTAATAGTACAGGCCTAAATTTTTTTCAGGCCTTATTTTCAAAACTGCTTAAGTAGTGTTCATTACAGCGAGGATCATTTTCATATTCATGTAATGACATTGAAAGGTGAAATTCTGTCTTGGTTACTCATGGAAGTTGAAGGATTAACAAATTTGAGTAAACGAGCGCAATTTGTGAACTGAGTTTTGCCTGTCAAGGAAAGTAACTTTATCATCTTTTCCAAAAAATTTATAACAACGACTCTTTCCGTTTCAAAAACTGGACTCTTACTGGACGATCTGGGATAATAACAAGTCCATGAGTTGTCTTCTCCACTGTTTCACCAGTAGCATCAAGGAGTTGATAATTTTGTATGAGTCTTGTCAGCAATAAGTATTGCTCTAGTTCTGTTACCCTCCGGCCTATGCACATTCGTGTTCCAAATCCAAATGGAAGAGAAGCAAAGGCGTTGATGTTTCTTCCACTCTCAGATGGATTCTTACTTTCTCTCAGCCACCTTTCTGGTGTAAAAGACAACGGATCTTCAAAATACTGCTCACTCAGAGACATTGCATGATTTAGAATCATTACGTGGGTTCCAGAAGGAATTTTGTAACCGCTCAAGAGCAAATCCTGTTCAGTAACTCTGGCTAAGAAAAAGATTGAATATAATCTGAGGACTTCCTTAATACATGCTTTTAGGTAGGGTAACTTAGACAGCGTTGCATTGGTGACGAGTTCTCCGGGCTTCAGGACTGAGGAAATTTCCTGATACAAATTTAGTTGTTTGTCTGGATTTTTTGCCAACTCGTATAAACACCAGAGGACTGAAGTTGCTGTTGTGTCGACTCCAGCAAAGTATACATCAACGTAAGTAGCTAAAAGGTCTTCATGAGTCAAATCGGAAGTCAAAACCAGATATTTTAGGAACTCGATGTTCTGAATTTGGCCTTGAAGTGGTTGTGAAAGCTCACCTTGGTTTGCAAACTTCATCAGCTTCCTTTTAATAGCCTTATCGGTAAATTCATAAAATTTATCATAACTTTCTGCAAACTGTTTGTACATTTTGGTTTGAAATATTTTGTGCAGCCACAGTGGTTGCACATCAATGTGAGCTGTGCTTTGCAGAAAGTTGTTTACAGCGGAAATGAACTCTTTCACTTCCGGGTGAATTTGGTCCTCCAGAGCACCAAACCTCTCGTCAAACAGCATCAACGACACTGACTCAAAAGACCACTTAAAAAGTTCCTCCTCCAGCGATGGAATTTCATTTTCCAAGCCGTGACTACCGCGAAGTCTTTCCAGCCGAGCAACAAATTCTGTGACAATCTTATTAAACGCAGGTTCGTAATCAGCCACACTCCTCGGCTGGAGCATTCGTTCGTTGATACATTTTCGATGCTTGTACCAGCTCAAACCATTGTCGAAGATTATTCCAGCGGGTTTGTTAGTTTTTTTCCTATAGTATTCCATCACTGGACTATCAGGTCGGATCGGAATTCGGCCCTCAGATCTTAAAACGGTAGAAACATCGACTGGGTTTGAAATCTTCACAAAGTCAACGGCCCGAAGGCCCATAAATTTTGTCCTGAATATTGGACCGAACTGTTCCACATTCCTAAGTTGAGCTTTTAACACGATTTTCCCAGCATCTGCCTCATTTATCTTCTGTTGGAAAGAAAGGATTTTAAGACCATTCAAGAAAAATTTCTTCGCCAGAGCGATGCCCTGTAGATCTGAATGAGGACCGGGCAGATCCTCTATGGAGCGTTCGTCTGTTGTTTGTACATTTTCGCCAGTAACTCCCGCAAATAACTTCACAATGAATTTTGAACATCCTTTGGTACGAAAATGTAGAGAAATGTCCTGAGAAACGCGACATCTGCACCGAATTGAGAGCATCATTATCCAAAATTGTTTTCCCCTACTCCGTCACTCTCAGAGCGACAAGGCCACCATGGTAGATTGCGTGAGTTAAGTACCTTGGTAAATGCGTCATGAAAACAGCATAAAGTGTCTACAAATTACAACACATGCTCATTTCGTGATTCGCGAGACTACGACGAAATGTCACTGAAGGGAGAGACGAAACCAGGAACAGGAGCCGTTAAAGTGACGGCTAAAAAACACAGATGGTATCTTGGAGGTATTGCCTCGGCCATGGCCGCCTCTTGCACCCATCCGTTGGATCTTCTAAAGGTATTGAAATACTTGTACTTGAGTACTTGCTGTACTTGAATGAAATCTTGTAACAAGTTGCTTCACAATTTCCCGAAGAATTTCTCCGAGTATCAGCCAGAGTATCTCCTTAAAACTTGGGAAGAGTTTTTGCATTAAAATAGTACAGATAAAGCGATGGGCTTTTATATGTCAAATTAATAAGTTGAGGTTTTCCTAGTTCATTATCTATGCAGATCAGCGAAGATTACATCAGCCGGCCGGCTACTTTATAAATTTTAGGCGACTTCTACGAAAATTAGTGTTGCTGTTAGGGAAAATTCTCTCGAGCTATTGGCTAAGAAAGATAACAGATAACAGATGTCAGATAATATTTTGAAGCACCGTGATTACAGACTGTGTAAACATCAGATAGGCGTTTTACCCTCACACAGCTTCTCACAACATGCCTCTACACACCCCTAAAAGTATGCACCTCCCTTCCCCCCTTATTTTGTAATAGAGTTGCATCAGAAAACAGTGTTGACTTTTGAGAATGTATCGCTTATGAAGCACAAGAGTAAGAATAATTAGCTCAGGGGAAAAATTGCAAACACATATTAAAAACATTTGGCAAAATGGTCATATTCAGTTTGGACACGCAAGCCAAGAAAAATTGGTCTGACATCAAGTTGGGGCCAAAGAACACCCTCATTTGCTTGAATTGTGGAAAAGAGGCTTGGTAAACAAAGGGTCAATTATAAACCCACATGTATATATACAACCGGTGATAATTTGAAAACTCAGTTAGCCAGAGTTATCACAATATACTTGTGAGTACTTGTGTCTACAAGATGTATTTTGGTTGTGTTTTGTGATTCCTTTTGAACTGTCAGAAATTTTTCAGTTGGTGTATCTATCACTGGATAAGACATGTAGATTTTTCCCATCTGTGCATTTTCATAATTACCTAATGTATAAGATTAATTTTGTTTTTTACTTACCTTTAAAAAAATAAATACTCACAGGCATCCCAGGGTTGCAGGCACCCCAGGGTTGCAGGTACCCCAGGGTTGCAGGTACCCCAGGGTTGCAGGTACCCCAGGGTTGCAGGTACCCCAGGGTTGCAGGTACCCCAGGGTTGCAGGTACCCCAGGGTTGCAGGTACCCAAGGCTACCCCCTAGCACCACCTGGATCAAGCTAAATTATGGGACAAAGACATCATGCTAAATAATGTCTTTTAAATTGACCACAGAAAGCAGTTAAAGGATATCAGCCCTGCTGTCATGTGCAAGATTTAAAGAATTTTACCAACTTTTATGTGATCCAGTCAGTTACCGAATAAGCAGTGGAACCTTGCTAACTTGAACTCAGAGAACTCAAATCCCTGGAAACTTGAACAAGATCCAATATCCCTAGATCCATTTATTTATGTTATTTACTATTAGCTAACTCAAACCCCCACTAACTTGAACCATTTTTTTCTTTCCTTGGGAGTTTGAGTTAGCAGGGTTCTACCGTAAGTAACCTTGACATTTATGGCTCATGTTTTTTTCTTTAATTTTCAAACTATCAAATTAGAAAACCTATGCCAAATGTGAATCAATCACAAGGAGTTTATTGTTTTTTTACTTTGTATTTCAAATGCAGGTTCATCTTCAGACACAGCAGAAGGTTGAACAGAGATTGGTATCCATGGCAGTTCATGTTGTACGTACTCAAGGAGTATTGGCACTTTACAATGGACTATCAGCTTCTCTTACACGACAGGTACATGCCAGTAGCTTGCTTACCCTCTTTATCTTCCTAGCACCTTTAAGACTGGTGGCATGGGTGAATCACTGTTAGAAGGCCATTGGCTGCTTGTCATCTCAGGTACCTACATTTCTAATCTGTGTTCTTCATCTCTCTCTTAACTTTCCCCCTCCATGCTTTTTTGGGTGGGTCTGTCTCCCTCTTCTGCCTTAAGGGTCCATCAAAAGAGACTCTGATCTATCTCCATGTCGCATGCTCTATGTCAAGTGTTCAATATTGAACAGGTTGATTCACAGAGCAATGTTGCTCCCTCTTAGGGACCAAAATTGATAATTGCAGAGGTGTTAATCTAATAGAAGCAGTGCAAAAGAAACCTTGATTGTGATAATCAAATACTTTTGTTCCTTCAACCTCAGCTGACATACTCCACAACACGCTATGGGTTATATGAGGTAGGCTCAGCAAGACTTAGAAAAGGAGATGGTAAGCACTTGAGATTAAGATAATAAAATGTAATGGTTTAGACTCTGTTGCAAGATGACCAGAAGGAAGGGAAGTGGGAACTTTAAATGATAGGTGGGAACTCTGAATAATGACTTGGTACTCACATTGCCCAAAATGATTAATGCATTCAATAATGTCTCCTTGCAATTTTATTGGTGCAACAAGTTTTGCAGTGTTGAGAATCAACTTGCAAACATTTTTTTTATTGAGGATGGGAGTTAGTTTAAATTAATACACAATTTGAAAATACACTGATGGCCCATATATGCAATTAAGAAGATAATGATGTTATGTTTAAATTCAGTCACTAAAGCAAATGGTCATATTTGCTCATTTTGAAATAATGAATTATTGATTGCAATAATTTTTATTATTCAATATATATTCATTTATATATACATTTGTTTCTTTATCTATTTATTTCTGTTTATATCTGAGGCACTTTCATGACTTTCCTTTTCACTCTATTTAGCTCCTCTACCATTTTACCAAAAAATTGCAGTTGGAGCATTGTCAGGTAAAGCAGAGGCCAAAATAAGTTCACAGAAAATTATTCTTAAAATTGCAAAAGAATAACCATAGAAAAACCCAGCAGATTTTACAGATAATTTATTTTGTTAAAGCTCAATTGGGTGATGCTTATGTTGTGATTATTGTAATGTTTCAGGAAGCAATCACAATTAACTTGTTCCTAATAGATTTAATTTCTGAATTTAGATGATCTAAATGATAAATCACTTTGTCTTTTCTGTAAGGTTTTATTGGAGGAATTATTGGAAATCCTGCAGATATGGTCAATGTGAGGTATTAAAGTTTTGCTTGATCACTGTTGGTGCTGCAAACAAAGGCATAATTAATTCAAAATATATCAATTAAATTGCCTTAATGCATTAATTAATTTGCTAATTGGTAGCTTTTGACATTTGGCATAATTAACTTCTAACTGTTTTATTTTCCTTTCCTTAGAATGCAAAATGATGTTAAGATAATAGATGTTGCAAAGAGGAGAAAGTGAGTGTTGCAGGATAACTGACTCAATAAGGATTGTATGAAAGCTTCTATAACCACTTTTAAAATTTGAGGTTAAGAATGATTAGTGCACAAGATAGTGACAACAGACTCAGCATGTAAGGGAAAATGATTGAGGAGGATATCAAGATTATTTAAGATACTGTCATCAGATCAAGAGGCTCTTGTGTCTTCCAATGCCATTTGGAAGGCCTGGCTGCTTAGACCATGTAGTGATTCAGTGGCAATTCAGTTCTGCAGAATGAAGAATTTTCTCTTTTGTAATAGCTGTAATAACAGTGACTTGCATGCTCTGTTCTTTGCACTTTGTTTGTACCTCTAATGCAGCATGTGATTGATCATCTTCTTTTCAGTTACAAGAATGTATTTGATGGTCTTTACAGAACAGCATCAGAAGGTAAATTTGTATTACTCAATTTATGCATGATTATTGTACTTTGTTTAGTAATTTTACTCTTGGTGAAAATTCACTGGTTCCTGAATGTTCAATTTAGTTTTCTAGAACTTTTGTTCCTTAATATTCAACAGAGGGTATTTCTACCTGGATGAAGGGTGTGCAAATGACCTCATCTAGGGCTGTGTTGATAACAGTGGCCCAGGTATGCGTCATCGTTATTATTTTACATCGTTTATATCCTAGACTACGAGCAGCCCCTCCCTTTTGGCTCGGGAGAGACCGAAAAAATAAGGGAAGAAATCTTCTAGAGGTCCGCGCAGTGCGCTTACCACAATTACCGCTTACTTTTTCACTGATTTTTTCAGGCTCACGCGACTTCTGTAAAATTAGAAGGGCCTACTCGTGACGTATCTATAACCTTTCTGATCCTTTAAATCTCATAGATGTCTTTAGATAATCGATATTTTATTTATTTTGATGGGAAAATTTCATTCCCTCTTTTCAGTTTCCACCAGTTTGCAATTTCTGCATCATGCCTCACAACTTGTATCGTTCAAGTGCAAAGAAAGTCGCATAAGTTCAACCTTAACTTTTTCTGCAACATTACCTCAAAAGAAAAAACCCAAACCAGCAGAAAACGACAAAAGCAAAAGTCGCGAGCATAAAATTAGTCACTGTCTTTAATGCTTAAAGCTAGCCAGCACTCGGCAGTTGTATAACATATGCTTCGTGGAGGAGATTGACAAATTTGTCCGTTTTATTCCTCATCAGGTAGCTTGTTATGACCAAGTTAAACAGCTATTACTTGGATCTGGGTAGGTTAATCCCTCTGAAGGCCTGTGGCTTGGTGTTTAGATCAATAGCTTGCGAGCGAGCCAACGGCTGAATATGCTTAGCGAAAACGATGAATATTCCAGCGATAATCCCCAACTGAATTTCCATCCGATAAAATGAGAACCTTCCAAGGGTTGAAATGATTTTAATTCAAGAAAGTAAAGCCCTTTTCTGTGTTACCAGGAAAGAAAACAAATTTCTTGGAGGTGAATACTAAAACTAGGCGGCATCCACATCAGAAAAAATCTTTTGGTATTGCAATGTGAAAAAGTCAGCATCGTGGTACACATTTTAACGTTTCTGGCTCTAAGCTGTTCCCAAAAGTTTTGTCTCGCGAGGCCAAAAGCTCAAATCTTCTGCAAACCTGGTTTTCTGAAAACATTTCGTTTCTCAGAAAAGATAAAATCTCCAGACCAATATCTAAAAGAATTTCTATTGTTTACATTTTTGATGACTACTATTCTCGTGTATTTATTCCGACAAATAATTTCTTCTGATCATTTCAAGAAACTGATCCATCAACACTCTTGATTGTTTGCAGATACTTCAGTGACAATATCATAACGCACTTCACTGGCAGTTTTATAGCGGTAAGATTCTTTTGTCCATCATCGATGCTTTTAACTTCATTGAATTTGAGGGAAAATTAACAGACTTTTTCGCACCGGAATAGACGGGATTGATTTGTGACCGCTTTGATTCACTCGCATACAGGGGACAATTGCAACAGGCATTACGCAACCAGTTGATGTCATGAAGACAAGACTGATGGAAGCTAAACCAGGACAGTACAAGGTACTTATAGAGGATATTTTCATTCTTGCTGTTTAAAGGTTTTCCAAATACGGAACCCGTACTAATTCTTCCGACTCCGAGGTTCGATTTTCATCAGGTCGAGAGCGCTCTTTCGACTTCATCGCCGATGAAAACCAGCCTCTGACGGGTCTTTTGGCTTTTTTGCGACTCTTGTAACTTTAAGATAAATGAAATCTATGGATGTTTGTGTTCACAAACTTCAAATCTTGCAGAGTGTTCTGGACTGCATTCTCTACACCGCGCGGCTCGGACCTATGGGGTTCTACAAGGTATGAATTATTTACCTAGACACCTATTTTTAAACTATAAAGTTTTGTAAATATTTCTGATTAAGGAATATAAGTCATACTGCTGTACTTGTAGCAGGTCCAGACAGTTGTCTATCTTGTAATCGTTAATAGAGTCAGTAACTAGTGGGTGTGTTGTATAAAAGATAGCTTTATTTCCCAGCCCAATTTTCCATTAAGATCCTCGTGGGTTTTTGACCGCAGTCTATCGTGATATCCTCTTTTTCTACGAGTAATAGTAACTGACAACAATTCGATGGGGAATCATAACCATTATCTCGAGATGCTCTAGTTTAATAAACCGGTTCTTTTTCTTAAGAGTTTCGTCGATGCCAAGGACACTTTTGATTACTGATTTTAATTGTCAGTTTCTGTTGATCTTAGTATTAAATGTCCTTCTTTTTTTTTTTTCGTTTTTAGGGCTTTATTCCAGCTTGGATCCGTTTGGAACCCTACACAATTTTAACGTGGATCTTTCTTGAACAACTTCGAGTGTTGTTTCCTCTAAAGGAGTCGTAGACTGTTTGTCTGTGTAGTTACAATACTAAATACTACGCCGCGATAATCTTTTATTAAAGGGGGTAAGTTTCTGAAGAAACTGTGGTGCTACATCGATCTGGGGTATTACAAAATAATTTGATTTCATCAAGTGAGTTGATAATGTAAACTGGTCTCTGTAAACAGTTTATAGCTTTAGAAACTCTTTACGGTGGCCAATTTTCATTCTCAACTCGGACGATAAACTGAAATTATCTTGTAATTTTTTGTTAATATAGTTAATAAGACGATTTCAAGTGCAATTTGGTGTTAATAAGTACGAGTAAATTTTTCAAAGACAATAAAAAGTGCGCAAGCTCGTATGGCCAGTTCAATTTGTAAACTTTGAAAATTTTACAAGGGCTTACTTGCACCAAATTGTACTTTAAATCAAATTATTACTTATTTTAAAATAATTTAAATGAAATAAGCGTCGCAGAAAGTCAAGGCAGACAAAATTATTGCAGCTCGCGCGCCATTTGTAAATTCCATTCGTCTTACAACTTTGACTCGTGTTACATGAATAATGAACTCGTTTTCAGCCAATCAGATGCGCATGATTTTTTCAGCTATATTGTTAGACTGATGTAATGCGGAAGGTTACGATGAAATTATAGGATAAACAAATTTTGAAAATGAACCATAAAACAATGTGACAAGTAATATAGATAATGGTTTCAAAAAATTTTGGCTTCTATTAGAGAAAAGAAATCACAGACTGATTTTTTCTCTTTTTAGAGATGAAAATGTGTATATTTTTAACGCTTTATTTGATTATGCGCAATTTCAAAGTGTGAATGTTAATATCCTTAAGAAATCTTATATTTACACTTTTAATACAATTTAGCCTTGCGTACGGTGTCCTTCTGGCTGTTTTTTTCTTTTTGAGCGGCTAGGATGCATTGTATAACCAGCTGGGGAAAGCTGACGAAGCTCACTGATCTTTATCTATTAAATTAGTATCTCATAGGTTTAGAATCTAAGGCGTTTAATTTATGATTCAGAAATAAAGTCATTTTACGAAGCATAGGGCCTATCCTGCTTTTGAGTCATCTGATAGAACTGAGCTGCCATGTTTTAATGATAAAGATATTTTAAAAACCATGATTGATATAAAATTAAATGCAGTCAGACTTTCTATGAGGGTATGCCCTTTTAAGCTTAGCTAAAGTGTCCCTTGAAAAGTAGGTTACACTGAATTGAACAACAACTTGCCAGTCGTGGAGGGAACAGAATGAGAAATATAAAGGTCCCCGGATGTTATCATACCGGAAAGCTCGAGGGGTTTTTTCGCGGGCACGCAAAGGAGTTGCTTGCACGAAGGGGTGGGTTTAATGAACTGAAAAAGTAGTTGGAAACAAGTACTGTAGCCGTATAAAATCTTGGTCTATCGTTAGAAAAGCGAGAATACCTTAATTGGGCTCTCGAGTGCGTTTCTGGGCTGTTTCCAATAAATAGAAGCACGCTCCTATTATTCTGGGGCTTTGCCCTCGAACCATAAAGCAGCCTAACAAAACAACTGAAAAATAAGAGAACGAGCTCTCACAATCAGCCCTCGCCATATCTCTCACTGATGACGTTGGAGATTAACGAAATAATGAAGACGAGAAGACGAGTGTGGCGCACAAGTTTATGTGTTTTAGACGTACCGACCTCAGCCAGGGTAAGATTGTTTGCCTAAATCATAAAGTATAAATTTTAAACAGGCCTACAATCTTCTTGTGAATCAAAAGCGAAACTGCGGGCAAATTTTAAACAAATACCGATGGCAGTGTTTAATATTGTTAAATGATTCTGACATGTCAGACAGGTACTTAACAAAAGACATAGAGCATTGTGCTGTCACCGACAATAAAGAAATTGATGTCTGTATTACAATCTCAGAATTTTCGCTCCATTGCGTTCAACTGAAATGATGAAAAACGTTCCCATCTTCAATCGAAAATTCTATAGTAAGTTACAACTCTTTCATCGCAGAGTTATTTGTATGAATGCTACGAATGGAAAAAGTTTAATGAATGTGTACCTTCTTTGCCACCAAGCTGTATCAGAAGAACAGGAATTGGAAGAATTGTTTTTCGTTGCACGAACAAACAGCAATTTTAAGGGAGATAATGTGTCGATAAGGTCAAACGGTTTCATCTTGAAACGCTCTTTTCTGTTCCCGTTTCCTTTGTTCGCTGTGAAGGCCATCGTATCGTGCTGCTTGTCTACATGCTGAGTCAAAAGAATAATTTTCATTATGATAACATAAATTGAATTTTGTATGAAAAAAAAACATGAGAACAAAACGAATTGCACATTGAGGCAGCTGGGCTTGTTTTTCCCACGGATATGAGAGGAACAAACTAAGGCACGAATGGCATTTCTATTAAGGAAGATTTTAAATCTTGAGGACGTTTCAGTCAACCATACCTTACTGTCAGCGCTTATCTAGTGCGACTTTGCAAATCAAACCGTTATTGTCAGTAGTAATAGTAGAGAGATTTAACCCTCAAGTGGTAAAGGTGCCTGGATCACGTTTCTCTGCTGACGAAAGCAATTGTTTGCTACACGGACATCAAGCTTCCCTCTTGCGCACAACCCAGTGATAACCAGTGGATTCGGCAGAACAGTGGTCAAATAAGCAACTTGTCTCATGGTAAGTAAGCTTTTATTGTGTTTAATACAAAGAATGCATGTGATCAAGTGGTTTTAGAAAAAAAACTAGAATTTACTCTTGGCCTCAACTGAAGACGAATATCTCTTAGCATCTAAATGGCGCAGTACAGTGAACAGATAGATGTTCTTCACAAATACTCAAGTGAAGACTGAAAACGAATTTGCAAGAGTGAATTTCAATTTATGATGGATGTAGCACGCGTTGGAAAATGTCGAGGAACAATTTTACCTCTTTAAGTAGAGATGTAAATCGTCCTCGTGCTTAGTCAAAAGTCCCATGTTTACAATGACGTATGAACTCCATCTGTTTCACTATTGAGAACTTTACCTACCTCATTGTGGAAAATATGGACGAATTCGTGATATCACTACATATTAGAATGAAGTCGTAACTGAATCTATCTTGCTCATTTAGAGGAAGGGTCTAGACACAGTGTGTAAAAGCAGTGACATAATAAACAGGCGATCGAACATAACCGGCAGTACTAGTTTTCTCGGCCTTGAATGCAGATTAGTGACTCGAATCAATTAACACTGATTAAGTAGTTTACTTAGCCACTTAAATTCTCTTGTTTACTCTAACACTGAATTGAAGTAACATTCAAGGAAAATTTCAATTAAAATCTTCGCAGAATTGAATGAATTCTCTCTGACAAAATAAACAAACCAAACCAAGCTTATGTCAGCAATGTCAAATTGAGTGACCTTGAAGACTTGGAAATAAAACTTGTTTTATCGCAACCGATTACAACTTCCTACATTTTAGTGTCCGGTTTCAAATTAAACCCGTCTTTCTTTAAACAGTTTATCCTCGTAAAGATTGATGTTTTTTCACACTCATTGAAAAAATTTTAACATAAATGCCTCGAAATACAGCCGTAGAGTGGAGCTTGAATGTGACAAATGAAAAATCGCTTGATGACTTTGCGAGACAAGAATAATTGGCATGTTTTACAGAGGAGCACTGGCTAGAAGTCTGTCTCAAAGGTAAGACACTTAGCAATGTTGTTATTTTGCAGGAGTTGACGTTAACAGAAGGACAAATAGCAGGTAGGAAAGTAAAGACCACGAGCATGGTGCTCGACCTGCCTCGGTGCAGGGAGGCTATCGTACATAATTTCGAGATTGCTTAAGTATCGGACTGATGGTTCTCTGATCATGCACTTAGGGTTTTTGCACTTCACAGAAAATAGGAATGACCAAAGAAGCTTTGCCTCTGTTACCTTTAACCTTGAACGACTCTTTAGCATGAAGCAAGAGAAGTTAACCATAAAACTCCCGATATTTCATCGGTTTTTGGCAACTGGGATATTTTTACAAGGATCATGGCTGAAAACATCTGTGAAAGATAGTTCGGATCGCTAATTTCGATGATTGTAATTTCTTTTACATTGTGGTTGTGCGGTTTTGTCGACTTGTGGAACAGTTTTAAAGTCAGCCAATAAACCATGATGGATTTGGTAACTAAAGTGAGAATGAAGACCTAGTTGAAGAGAATATTTTACATACACCATAAATACCTACCACACTATACCCTTAGTTTAATCTCATTCATCATTATCTCATTGTACTGGTTACTTGTAGTTCGTTCAATTTTAGTTCATTTAGTTTAGTGAAGTCGGCTTTAACAACTGTTTGATGTTTATTTTACAGATTTTAAGGAGGCTTTCTCGCTTCTTGATAAAGACGGTGATGGTACCATAACCACAAAGGAGCTTGGGATACTAATGAGGTCCCTGGGTGAAAATCCAACCGAGCAGGAACTGGAAGAGATCATCTTAGAAATCGACATGGACGGTAAAAATTGTCAGATACAAACATTCTCTAAACCAGAAAGCATCATCACTTCCGGATACACTGAAAGTTATTTGTGCACTCTTTTAGCTAGCTTTTATATTTTCCCGATATACGAGTAATTTACATATTGGCGGCAAAAAGGTTTTTATCCCCAAACTGAGCTCTTGCCTTGCACAACTTTAAAATTATCTTTCCACGTAATTAGTTTAGCCTTTCAACTCCCATCAGAGACCAAGACTGAATTTCTCCTTACAATATCAATTGAATTTCAAGCAGACAAGTGATGCGAATAAAGGAAAATATCAATAAGGGGAGTATAAGTTGATCCAATACTACATTCTCCGAACTAACATCATAAGAATTGTATTGCACACAGTAGGGAGAATTATTAATAAGAACTGGAAGTGGAAGGGCTAAGAATTTAAAAGTGGAGTGGGGTAAGAAACAGAGTAATGAGAGTTATTGAAAAGAAATAGATCGGTCTGATTCTGTACGTTTACACTGAACTAGATTTACATTTTTCTTTTGAAGGCAATGGCATCATTGACTTCAGAGAATTTCTCCACCTGATGGACACCCGGATGAAAGAAACAGACACAGAAGCAGAGATACGAGAAATGTTCAAAGTGTTTGACATGGATGGTAACGGGTTTATAAGTGCTGAAGAATTCAAGTGGACCATGATGAACCTTGGTAATCAGTTGACCGAAGAAGAAGTCAACGAGATCATCAAAACGGCTGATTTGAATGGCGACGGACAAATTGATCTGGAAGGTAATTTCCATTTTTTTTTTTTTTTATTCTCTTCTTTTTCATGTCCAGTGTTCGGATGTTTCATCGGTGTTTGATCTTTGCGACTTTTTCTCTTTGCCTGTCAGTTTTGTTTGCACATGTGATATAACGACTGGCTAACCCAGTCTCGTTTCTTGGGGTTCATAAAATTAAAAGTTTATGTAAGTTTCCAAGCCAATTTATATTTTTTGAGCTTGTTTACCAAACCCTCACCATAGGGATTAATAGAGGTAAATAGTCTATCTATAATTTCTTTGCGACTAAATATTTAATTACACGATTACTACAAAAGATAATATCAATAGTAATATTGAAAATAACTACCAGTAGTTAAAAGAAAGTTTGTATAGACTCTATTTCCAACGCATCGCCTAAGCTGACTTATTTCTCTTTCAGAGTTTGTCAAAATGATGTCCTCATGAGCCAGCACGTGCCATTATCATTATTTAATGGTACAGAAGTTGTGCACTGGGCACTCAAGACACAGGATTGTTTCTGGCATCGTGCTCTGTATTTCTCTGAACGTGTCTGTAGAAATGAGTGGGACTCACACTATCCAGAAGTTATGAACTTACACAATAGTGTGACATTACAATGTTCAATCAAAGTTAAGGATAAGCCTCTAGCAATTGATTATCCTAATGATTTGTATGTTTTACGTAACTTTATATAGTAACTGACATATGTACTGCAAGTGCCTTGGTTGTTCAAAAACCTATCGTTTGTTGCACTGATAAAACCGTAGAAAATTGAAGTATATTATATAAAAGTAATGGACCGCCCTTTCTATCGGTTTACCGGCGTAATAACCCAATTGGGATGTTGGGAGAACACAAGAAAAGTCGGTAAATCACTTGCTTTAGGCTCTTGATTTACCAACTTTTCTCGTGTTCTAACATCCTAAGTGGGTTATTACGCCGGTAAACCTATCGAAAGTGCGGTCCATTACCAGGACCTTAAGAAATGTGTAGAGAACAGTATGGAGAATATGCATACTGATGTTAGGCTGCAAACGGTTGAGAGCGTACACCTTCCAATACCTATATTTTTAGCCTTTCAGTGAACTAGGTTTGTTTTATTTTGTTCCCTTTTTCTAGCTTAGTTTTTTTCCTTCTTTTGTTTTTTCCTCTTTTTTTAATCACTGGTTTTCTAATTTCCATTTCCATTTTTTAGTTTTGTTTATGTGCAACTGAGTAAGTTGTGTCTTTCAAAACTAAGTCGATTTGGGAGCTAAATGTGCTTTGTAAAAAACGCGTTTACGATCTTCGTCATTATGGAAACGTTTCAGTAGTTTGAAAGAAAATTTAATTTGTTTTTATGCCGATCACCTTGAACGCCTGGTATGTATGCTGTGAAATTAATCTAAACTTCTTAACGTTCTTATGAAAAAGTCCTAACGAAAAGCTTAAATCATTTATTGATCGACGTTTTCCCCAGATTTGCCGTCATGGCTCCCTAGGATCCCTAATGAGGTCTTTCTAACGACGATTTAATCAATCAATTCTGACTTAGTCAGTTCGCATGAACAGTCACTTAATGAAGTTTTAAAATAGTGTTCATAATGATTATTTCATTCATGAGCGGGCACCTTTCCGTGGCTTCCTACAGACACTCGCTCCTCTTGACTTGCGAATCTGTGCTAATTAGACTCTCAACAGGTCATTCAAGCCTGAAAAAGAAAGCTTTGCAATTATGAATGTACATAATGGTGATTTCTGTAACAAGGCTAAATTTGGTATCATGAGAAACGTCAGGGCCTACGTCCAAGAGATTTAGGTGCAGACATAAATGATCCAGTAGCCACGAATGCTTTCGCCCTACACATGCTCTCAAGGAATCTGGTGACCAAGGACCCTAGAGTATTTTTTTTTGTCGTAAGGAAGTGAACGCTATGTTCATGGGACATGCATGCTTACCTACACAGAGCAAGTTTAAAGAGTGCTTCTATCTTACGAGTCGTTAAATCAAAACCAAAAAAACCGAAACAGCCAATAAGAATGAAATAAAGATGGACATCCCAAGAAGTTCACGATGACTCGAACAAGGCGCAACACATGGTAGATTAAATTGGCGAGTGACCCAACTGGTCTTGGTTTCGGCTTCGAAAATAATTGACGGCGACGGAGGCTCAAATTTACGGGACCAGGTACTCATCGTGAATAAAGTAAGACAAAATCAATTCCTTTCAACACAAAAATGAAAAATCGCTCAAATGAATCAATCAGAAAAACAAATACCATGTACGCTATAACCCATTGACATTTATCATAAAGACACTTACTCACCTTTCTCTGTTTGTGGTTGGCTCTCCGTAGTTTTGGCACATGCGCTCGAATCACTATTACATTTCCAAAACGTAGTCCAACAGCAATAAGAGGCTCGCTGGGAGAACATCCTATACAGGTCGGGCGCTCTCCTATGTCCAAGACAGCTAGCACTTCTCCGGATGTAACACTGAAAAGTCGTACGTGAGACTCGTATCTGTAGCAGACCATAGTCTCGCCATCGTTGAGAAACCTGCAGTCGGCGATGTCGTAACAGTTTTCCAGAAAGACGTGCTTCCTCATTCCAGTCTTCGCACTGAGAGTGTGCAATCCATAGCCGTCATTCAGAGTATTCCATGTGACAACTACATCTCCCTGAGGAGAAAATACGCAGTGTGGATGTCTCCAGTTGCAACCGCCTTGGTAAATGTCGTCTTCTCTCCAGATGGGAACATTTGCCTCACCTCTGTAAAAGAACATTTCGCGCTTTCTTGCGTCGTTTTCGGCACAGAACACCACACCTCTTTGAAGACTGCACGCAATCGATTTTAGTTCTGGTTTACCACTCAAGTTTCTTTCAAATACAACTTTCCACGCGGAGATATCAAACAAGGCAATTCTAAGTTCCTGTTGTCCTTCGGATGAAAATTTAGGCGTGCATAAAACGCATCCAACAAGATCTTTCGATACAGGAATTAGTCTTTCGATTTCGCCCATCATGGTGATAGAGTTTAGACCTTGAGACAAGTCACCGTTCCATACCTGCAATGTCTTGCTGTCTGTTTGCAAGAGAACACCTGTCTCACCATTGTATGTGACAGTTACAGTCATTATCCCATTCTCGACACGACGTGAACTGTGTTGGAAGGACTTTTCCTGCTTCACTTCCCTTGCATTGTTTGCATCCCGCATAGTAAATGTCACCGAGCGTGACTCATCTGTTTTCATTCCTTGGTTGCAAATGGCGATAGTTGTGTACAAGCGCGTGCTATCGTTGACAGTAGAAAACGCAGCTTGTGCTGTCCGTGGCATCTCTTCGTCTTTTAGGGGACGAGTAATATCAAGCATCGTTAAGTAATTAACCGTTGGACTCCCGACCACTGCCAAATCTTTTAGTAACAAGAGGCAAAATCCAATTTGCAAGTCTGCAGAAACGAAATGGGATGTCTTACAAACGACTTTCAATCTATCAATAGAATCAACCGATTCCCACGGCCACAGAAAGACACAAGATGATTGTGACTGAAGCGCTGGCACCGAAAGTTTGTACTTGTCTCGGTGATCAGACAGCTCATGTTTGATATTGCCACAGACAAGAGCTCCTGCTTCTGTAAAACGTAACAGTCCACAAGGGTTACCCTCGCCAGAAATGTTCTGAGGTGCTTTCTTCCAACTGGGATCTTCAACAGCTTGTAACCAGAGTGAGCCACTTGTATGGCAGATTGCAACACTATTTCCATCTTGAGAAATAGCAAAAGAGGCTATCGTTTCTTCGCTCTCGAAGCGTTTGATCTCCTCACCATTCTCGGTGCTCCACATGACCACTTGATTGGCGTTTTCTGGACAATCAGTTAACATCCTCGTTTTGTTTCCTGAGAAATAGCAAACATTGAAATGACATTTGCTCCCTGAAAAGAGTGACTTCGTTTTTCCATCTAAGCTGTAAACTTTGGCCAAGTTTCCTGGCAAAATGGAACAACCGTCTGGATGGAAGACAGTGGAACGGTAAAACGACAGCGTCTTTTTCCCAGTCTCGTTGTCTTCGTACTTCTGTCGAAAAGCAGTTCCAAGTGGAACTTCATTGTACGACTTCATCGATTTTAATAAAGCTTTTTCCCATAGCCGCTTTCCAGTCTCAAGTGACCATAACGACGTCGTTCCATCACGACATTCGCTTACCAAGAGTTTTTCGTCTGGGGAAACATCAAAGCAAACCACTTTGTCAGAGCAGAAAAATCGACCCACAACAGGACCTTGATGACCATTTTTGTCTAACAGCTCCATATATGGTATTTCTGGATGGGAACTCAAAAGAGTATCATACACCTGTTGATAAAGTGTTGATCCTCCTTCATTGAGTAAGTTTTGGAAAATCACCCCAGGATTATCTCGAAGCAGCTTGGGGTTTTTCTTGAATTGTAATAAAAGGCTTTCAATTGTATTGTCGATTTCGTCGCTTAATTCCCTTGAATTCGGATGTTCTCGCACAAGAACAAGATCCTTAAGCACATCCGTGTCCTCTGTACATAGTTTGGCATAAATGAGTTCGAGATCTGTCACGTACCCATGAACTAATTCTTCCATTTGAGCGCTTCCAGTCTCTAATGCTTCCAGCATATGCTTGACACCGTGTCGTAAGGCGTATTTCTTCATGGCTTGAGTAGGCGATTCTGCATGGTGTTCACGACGTCTCTTTTCAATTTCAAGTACCTTAGCGCACAACTTAAACAGAATCTTATGACCTTTCTTCTCCTTTACGAAGAAAAATCCATTGGACGGGTCTGTCAACCAATCCTTGATGGATTTGTGGAACATGTGAACATGGTCATCTCGAAGAATGAAAAGAGAAGAAATACAGCCAATAATACCCTCAAGTTTTCGCTGATCGCTCAAGGAATCACTTTCTGAAGTGATACCGTTTTGCCGCAGTATGTCCATGATGAACTCCTTGTGCAAAGGTTCTTCAGAAACAGTCAAAGCATTGAGAAAATCAGTCAAAAAATTGCCATAGTTGTCCTTCAATTCTTCCTTCAGTCTTTTCTCCATTCGCTCAAAATAGGACCGGTAGACTGAGGAAATGCCATGTGGGAATTGTCGACGAAGTTCCTCTGGACTAACTGGTGATGTGCCGTCTTGGATCATTTGAATTAAAAAGTATGCGAAGAGCATCGAGCCATCTGAGAGATGGACTAACTCTTGTACAACTGCGCTGTGGCTGTCTGGGTTTGTTACGTCAGAATTCAGTTTCTTTTCAAAGAAAGTTTTGATATCATCACGATTCCGCTCATCCTCTTGTTGCAACTTGAAAATCTTTAGATTTCTTAGTTTGTCTGAAATGTTTTTCTCTGGTCTTGCGGTAATAAGAAATCTTATCCAAAGCGGCAATTTGGATAACTGATTGGCGATGACATCTAGTAACTCATTGCGTTCATCGAGTTCACTTTCGTCCAGGCCATCTATTATCACAAGGACGTTTCTGCCAGGGTCTGCCACAGCGAAAAGGGGTTCAAAGAGCCACACAAAGAGATCTGACACTCTCATATGTTCTAGTTCTTTGCTGCGCTCACTGGAGAGCCGCTCCACGAGGGCTGCTTTGTATTCTGGCAATTTCGAGCTTAACTGGTAGGCCAGTGATTGAAGCATTCGTTTCGGATCACGGTAGAAGTCGAAGCTGTGTTGACAAAAATGATACCCTATTACTCTGTCTGCCTTTTGCATTCTCTTGCAAATGGCTGCACTGGCGACAGACTTTCCCATTCCGGCAGCTGCAGTGATCAGCATTGCACGGTGCAAGGAGCTACTATCATCCAACCAATTCTCGACCTCATTGAAGATCCACTCACGCGTTCCGCCTTGAAATTTAGTGAGGTAATGGTTTATGTCTCCTGTAAAGTCAAAACGTGCCAGTTTCTCTAAATCTTTCTCTTTCTTTAAGGCATCTATTTCATTCCGATTTAGTCCGAGAGCAACCAAAGCATCAGCAATTTCCTCCCAGTAGGAGTTGAAGTTTTGCGTGGTAACTCCAGTTGACGGAGCATGACTGAGCAGATTTCGAAAATACCTGATGCGAGCAATATTTGCTTCTGTTGACCTGTCGCTTCGAGGAGGCTTGTCGTTCCATCCGGTGTTGGGAGGAGACAAACCACAAATGTTGATTAAAAGGATCCCAAGCAGTGTTATGTCAAATGACTCACAGTCTGGTTGCGTTCCATCAGACGGAAAGAGCTTTCGCCACTGATCATCTTTAAGTACCCTATGTTTGAGACTTGAGAGTGTTTGTTTATGTTGACCGAGCCAAGTAGCTAATGGTTGAGGGGAGTGAGATTTATTCAGGAGGATCCTTAATGCTGCTGCTCCCCCATCAGTAACAAGATTCCATAACTTCACACCATTGGTCTTTTCTATGGAAGTGGCAAAGGGTGATGTTGGAGGACTCGCCATGGCTACGCACGTCGAAACATTGATGTCTTGCTTTTAAGGAGCACGGGCAGTTGTGTATTGTCACTGAGAATATGAATAACATTTGAACTCTCACTAAGATTTTACTCAATATCATCCCATTGTCAGTACTCAGATAAGTATCTCGCTCTACAGTCGAACTAACGTTACTTGATCCAAAACTCAAAATACTGTCATAGTATACTTTCTCCTTACCTAGCTTCATGTCACTAACATTTTTGCTAAGGTCTTGATTATAAAACAGACAAAATGCTGAATAAATAGTAGCAAAATAGAAGAGTTGACGTTCAAAATACCATTCCACGTTGACAGACGAAAACGATCAATCTTTTCAATCGCAACTGGCTGATAGCCTTGTAAAATTTATCAGACATTGTCCCATTCAATGCAGTTCAATTGTTTAGATCTTTTCGTGTGTCAATAACTCATGTAGTTCCTGGCTGCCTCAGGAACAGAGAAACTCTGCAAACTTTAATTTGTTCATTTTTTTTTCATGAGCCAAGAGAAAATAATGGAACATTTTCTCTTGTATAAGCTTAGGGTTAAGTAAAATTTTATCATGCAGAGGTAGTGTAATTTTCGTTATTGTGACTGAAGAGACTTCTGAACCTTCTTCGATCATCATTTTTTACCTGATATGAAAATTTATGTACCTTCCATAGATTTCCTCTAGGAGATCTAATTCTTATATTTTCCTTTACATATGAGAGAAAAAAAACATACAACGCTTCACTACACTTAACTATGAAATCTATATGAAAATCGAAGTTTATAACTTCCTTTCAAACACAACGATATAAATACCATTGAACTGTGTTTTCAACATCACATCCGGAATTGTGAGCGCAAGGTCACAGCCTCGAAAGTAATTTATTTGCCTCACACAGCCTTCTGTCACTGCCCTGTACATACAGGTCGTTTTCTCACAAAATTCAGCCTATTTACTATACTGTTATTAAAACGATCCATACGAAAAACCTCGAACATTTACGCTTATATCTCTATTGTAACTTAACATAGTTATGCTAAAAGGCCTCTGGTAAGGCTGCAATGGACTATGCCCGGGCTTAAACAAACTTTTGCTTCGGCTCAATAGATTAGTGAAAATGTCAGAATAATTACCGTCAATTTCTCGACAGATTTCGATATGGCTTAATCAAGCCTGCCTTAGTATGAACTGTAGACTTGATTTAAGCTTATCATAACCCTATTTTCCTAGAAAAGCAACTAACTCTCTTAGTGGATCGCTCATTATCACGAGACAATGGCATGCTTACTGAACTGTCGGTTAGCAGTCACATACTGTTCATGCAAACCCGCTTAGATTATTTCAAATTCGCAAGCAATGGTAAAAGCAAAATGTTCCATGGAACACTGCTCTGGAAATATAGCCCGTCGCATTATAAGCATCTTTTATCGGATATAGCGACACCTTTTCTAGGAATTCCTATATTTTCAGTCCGACAATAAATCGATCGAGGTAGCCCTACGGCATTCCGACTACTACGTGGTTGCGTTATTTCCGAGAAAGAATATTTTCAGACGTTAATTATGACAATATTTCGCTGCCTGTGCTCTTGCTCCCTCTGGTAATTTAGTGACAATGAAATTTTGACCTATACGAGTAGTTTTTGACGATCTTTACCTATGGCGCTTCAACTAGTCTACAGGAGATGTAAACATATTTCCGTTGTTACACAAGCAGTGTTGGCTGCGTCAGGTTAGCCATTTCCCAAAATTTCAGTTGGATCGCATGGACTCTACTGATTTTCTAAACTTGCATTTAACAGTAAGAGCGCATTCAACTGTATTCTAGGTAGCCTCGGGGAGGAAAGCTGCAGAATTCCTAACTGAAGCCAGGAATGAGGTCATGTGGGAACCTAGATATAAGGCATAGAACATATTAGAAAGACATACCTGCGAGCGGTTATTCTCTGCTTGACGTCAATACAAAGAATGTGTTTCCTTTGAGTAGTTTTCTTAAAACAGGGCACTTTCCTCGACTAACGTTGCTCAGAATTACTGTCTATTGGTTGTGCTTCAATATAAATGAAGGGATAAATTGAGTCATCTGCTGTTCAAGAACCTCTTCGTAGCCCAACGGCATAATATCAACAGTATATATGTCTGATTGGTCATGCGTATGAACGGCGATCCTCATTGGCTCTTTTAGGCATTACAAACAATAGGCTATTGACGGCCGATTGAATTTCAATGGTGTATTTATTTTGCAAGGAAACACAACATGCTATTGATTATTACAATTCTGAGAATCGCAAAAAATTCAGGCTTGTATTACTATGAAGAAAAAAGACTCATCAAAATTGCTCGAACAGCTAAGCCATTAAACACCCTTTGACAGTGAAAGCATCCTTGGCAATCAACAGTATTGTTGTCGATGGTATATAAACTCTGCAGTGCTGTTCGTTGAGTTGCTGTGGAGACATGCCTGCGAATGCCTGTGTACATGTAACTCGCGGTTGTGTGAGCTTTGAATGCTAGGTGGCAGGGCTGCGAGAGCTTTGGGACGGAAATAGTAATTTTCCCACACAAAAACGCCAGTTAAGCTGGCTGGTGGAGGAAAGAATCAGATAAGATTTAACGGCAAACAAAGCTTCAAAATTTCGACCGCGACATGTCGAGTACCGTGTAATAATTCTCGGAAACAAATGACAAAGGTATCTTAAGAGAGTAACCGCAGTTTGACCTCGCAGTAACATAAGGAATTCATGACAGATTCTAAACATATCTTTCCTATGACAAAGGTTTCATGAGTGGCAGACTTCGAGTTGAAAAATGTACTGTTATGTCTGATATTCTTCAAGGTGTGATGCATTCAAATGTAAACAACCAGTGCAGAACTTCCTAAATTTTAATTATTTTCCATATCCAAAACCTCTTAAATAATTAGAATAAAAGCAAATGAACGTGCCACCTTGTACGAAAAGGAAAATTATAATCCCAAACCGCAACATGTTACCTGACTGTCAACCATCTGGAAACTCAAACTGGCTGCGCTAGCTATGTTTGAATTTAAAAACTTAGGTTCTTCACTGCGGGCTGAATAGAATTAGTTCTTTCTTTTATATTAAAGGATTTTGAAAGGGAATTTGAATTAATTATAAGAATGAATGAAAGGATCTGATAATTACCCAAGATAGTCCGTTCCAGTATGCAACGTGGGCCTCTAAGTAGTGAGAGTTAACATTAAGAAGCTCGCGATCGTTTTAAAACCAGCCATGTTTGATTTGGAGTCAGAGTTGACCGTCAGTCACCCCCTCGGTAAAAATTGTTTCCCTCTTCGGCCTTCCGCCGATGTAAATCTCCACGCAGCTAACAACCTTCGTTGTTGTTCCTGATCATCATCTTATGAGCAACTTTTCGAAGATATGAAATCTTTTCTTCTTCAGATGAAGTGTACGATGTCAGCATCAGTTAAAATTATATTCTATTGAGCGTAAATGATGATTTTGGTTTGGGAAAATGAGCCAAAATTGAAAGAAACGACGGTAAATTACTTTGCCGGTCGATTGAAGAATATACACGTGTGAACAGTGAGTCAGTTAAACAATACGCCAGAATCGTATAGGATTCTCTTATATCTTCTCTTGAAGTTGCCAAGTATGACTGCTTGCCCCAAATTTTGGTACTTACGGTCGGGAGATGGGTTAAACAAACTTATTCTACCGTTTAAACAGAATCAAGTAGATAGGTACGGACGATGCGATCGACAAGTTTCTATTTACTGTTTTCGACTGGAAAAGTTTTGACTCTGTTTTCAGTCAATTTGTTTTGGTCTACTTAACACTGTCGGCCGACTGTCGGTAATAGAGTGATTAGAGTGGTTTAGCAAGAGGACGGGAACGTCTTTTCAGGACGGGAAAGCGCGCGGATACTCTGGACACGACTCTATTTCGACTTCCGGTGTTAGCGTTGCTGTTCTCCTCAACAAGTTAAGTTAAGGACGTCACTACGCCGGTTTTCCCGTCGCGATCAAAACGCCTGGGATTTGCGTAAATTTTGCGCTTATAAATGAGATATGGCTGTTTGGAATTATTTCAGAACTCATTTCCAAGATAACCTGGTCCCTTCCTTTGGTTTATTCGGTGTATTTTGGGAAAATTTACCGCTTCATTTATCAAAATGAAATATCACGACGCTTACCTACTGTATTATTCAGTGTCATTTGTTGTTATTGTCATTTTTACCGTGATTGAAAACTTTTCTGCGAATTGAAGTCAGAGATGAAAGAATTTTGAGAATAGCTCAGGTTTGCACTTTTTTATGTTTGAAATTTTTGATCAGCGCCGGTGAAAACTAAGACAAGAAAGTCGTGCTCTCGCTTCGAAATAAAATGACAATCAACTCGATTTCGGCACGGCTTTCTAAATCTATTAATTCGATTCAGTCTTGAACGACTTCATTCGTTAAAAAAAAATTATATTAAACAAAAACGAAAAAAAAATAATAAAACAGGAACGAAGTCTTATTCCTAAGTCTAACCGTTTCGTTGGTGACTAGTTTGAGTCAATATCATTCTTTCACGAATAAATAGGAACTCATCGTGAACAACTCCATCGGGGTTGCTTGGTTTCTACATGGTTTCGCCATAACTCCGTATAATTCCGTTCAAAATGCATTGCAAGGTGATGCTCAAAAGAGATGTGCTGTCATAATTGAGAAGAATATTCAGTAAACAAGGGGAAAAACGACGACGATTTCCAAATTATCCTTTACAAAATTATGAAGAAAATTGAGTAGTGCTGAAATCTGGTAGCAAGAAACGAAATGATAGCGACAAAAATCATGGAAAAAATATTTAGCGGGCTTCAAAATTTGATAGATGAATCAGCAGACTCGAGACTAAACTTAAATGGAATAGTTTCAAAGTTTAATCGCCCATGTGGATTCATATTAACTACTTACTTGCCGTGTCTATAACTATCCTCTGTTGGCGCTTGTCACATAACTCTCAAAGAGGATAGTTTCGTTGTCCTTAGAGTAGTCTATAAAACCGAAAATTCAAAGGTGATGGTGATCTTTAAAAAGCCGAGGTGAGGATTCTTGTTGCAACGACTGCTAAATCACTTTTCAACACAGCGCGACGGCGTTCTCGACCCAGTTTCTTATCGACATTTTTGCTGCGCGCGCCGTTCTAAAGTGACGTTCCCGTCCTTTTGCTAAACCACTCTAATGTGTTAACAAAACTTCCCTAAATTATGGTGCCAATACGAATTAATCGTTCATAATCACTTATGAAATTCCGAGATTGTACATCAATGAATTCAACAGAAAATATCCAGGAAGGTTACAGAAACGGACTCTCAAAAACGGCTCTTGGATTCGAAAACTGTAAACAACAACTATTTACGCTAACCATGTGCTTACCAGCGTGCATATGAGCTCAAATTGCCAGGACCCCGTTTAATTACACGATCACAGCTCGGACGCTTCTTGCAAAATGTGATGACTATCAATTTCAGAGATTGATTGTTCAGTTTCCAGCATCAGGAAAAAATTATCGCATCGCAAGCGTGTTCATGATGACCCGAGCAGTAAGTACGCCTCGACATATTGGGCGAAGAGAAAGTCGCTCCATGTTTTGTGAGACAAACCATTTCCTGAAGTTTGAACAAATCGAGTAGAGAGCATAAAAACATAACGCTGAAAAGTACCATGACTAAACAATGAAATTCACTCATTCTACACCAGGACTGTTTTGCCGTGAGTTTGTTTGCACTATACATTTGGGGTTCATAAATTAATTCTCAGATGTTTGACGGGTTCTCACATGACAATATTGTCAAAATCAAATTACCGCGTCAGACTTAATTTAAACATGAACATCGCAGACACAAACTCGTTTATTTCAATTTTGGGAAAGCCTATTACTTCGTTCTTAGGGTAAAACAACACAACTTCGACAAAGCGCGATTTTTTTAAATGAATAAAATAAATCCTGCGATAGTTAACTGAAGAGAGAAAGAGATAGAAACTTGCGCTCGCCGTTCGCTATCATTTGAAAACTTTCTAGGCAAAACAAAATCCGTAAAATAACTCATTTTCCCTTGACACCACGACTGTATTAAACAATCAAAACGATAGGGCAAGAAATAACTTGAGGAATACGAACACTTTGAAATGTTATTCGAGCGATGAACCGGCGCGAGGGTTTTTTAGGCGATGAATGCCAAAGTCATTGTTTTACCGAAACGTAATTTGAATTATAAACTGAAGTTAGTATCAAACGAAGATTGGTAAAAAAAGGTTGGAATTTTTCTGGGCCTTAGCGTAAGAGAAAACCCAGATAAGACACGACTTACCTCCTCTTCTTTCTCGGATCCCATGTGATTCACTTCTCTTTGTTGATGACCTCTTTTCAGTCTGTTTTCAGGAGCGTCTTTGTATTTCCTCCCGCGCTGCTCTTCGCTAGATATTCGCCTTTTTACTTATGCCTTTTCTTGTTCTCTTTCGCTTTCCCCTCGCTGTATTCTACCTATTTTAGCGTCCTTTCTAACGTTCTTATGCGTTTTTCTCTACTCGCTGTACACCTTATACTTCTTGCTTTATTTGGTCACTCTGCCTCTTTCTTTCCAGCCTATTTTCACTCAAAACCCTCTCTACACGGACTTGTATTATAACAATTTACTCAGCTTGAAAAGTTTTAGCTCTGCCGGTATTGTTGCTTTGCGAGTTGATCAGCAGTAGAAAAATACTGAGAATTACTATTCAATTACAACCTCAGCAGTTTGTTTTCCCGCTCAAAACGCGGGTTGAAAGTTTTTTGCTTACGCGGCTTCACATCTACTAGCCCACGTGTAATGCCTAACCGTGAGCCCGCAGGACGCAGCACTTTATTGACATCTGTCGGTGTCTCCTGGCGCACACTAATGGGGTAGTCAAGTTACGCACGCAATTGCGCCTGCGCATTACCTTCTCCCTCGCCCCTCCCTCACGTAATGGCTAAGATAGTGCCTGCGGTACAGTTGGCCGCGTATGCTAAAAGTAGCACCTTATACGGATGCCTGTACAGTCGTAAGTCCAATTTTTTTCGGCTTGATGAGTTACTTCTATGGTGTATAATTATGGGGCTACGCCGAGCGCGCTGTGCGCGCTGCGAGCTCTGCTATAAACAATTGTCATAATAAAATCTAAATTTTTGAAAGGCTAGGATAATTAACTATTTGTAAAGCCCTTAGCAATTTTCAAATATTTTGTAAATTATGACTATATATATTATACGGGGGAAAAATCATTTGCTCGCTGGAAAGAGAAACTTTTGGACTGAACAGCAACTATGGAAAGGTTTGTTTCTTGAGACATACATGGACCAGAACGAGAAAATCCCTGGATCGCCAAATGTCATAAAACTTTCACTCCCGTGATTGACCAAGGATACATTTCTCCTTACGATATCAATAGAGTTTCAATTAGATTACGAGAAATAGGGATATCATCAACTCGGGGATATTGTTTTAATCAACACCAGAATGATTTAAGAGTGATTTACATATTGGCGGCAAGAAGGTTTTTATCCCCAAAGTGAGCTCTAACCCTATACAACTTTACAATGATCTTCCCATGTAATTTTTTAAGCCCTTCAACTCCCATAAGAGACCGAAACAGAATTTCTCTTTACAATATCAATTGGATTTCAAGAGGACAAGTGACGAGAATGAAAAAAAATATCAACGAGGGGGAGCATAAGTTGATTCAATACTAAATTCTCCAAACTACATAACAAGAATTGTACTGCAGACAGTCAGGAGAATTACTAATGAGATCTAGGAGTGAAAGGGCTAAGAATGCAGTTGTGGGGTGAAAAGAAATAGATCGGTCTGATTCTGTAAGTTTAAACTGAACTAGATTTACATTTTTTTTCAAGGCAATGGCATCATTGACTTTTGAGAATTTCTCCACCTGATGGACACCGGATGAAAGAAACAGACACAGAAGCAGAGATACGAGAAATGTTCAGTGTCTGACATGGATGGTAACGGGTTTATAAGTGCTGAAGAATTCAAGTGGACGATGATAAACCTTCATAATCAGTTGACTGAAGAAGAAGTCAATGAGATCATCAAAACAGCTGACTTGAATGGCGACGGACAAATTGATCTGAAAGGTAATTTCAATTTTTTTTTCTGTTTCGTTCTCTTTTTTTTATGTCCAGTATTCTATTGTTTCATCGATGTTTGATCTTTTCGACTTTTTCTCCTTGCCTGTCAGTTTTGTTTGCACATGTGATATAACAACTGGCTAACCCTGTCTCTTCTTTGAGTTTCATAAAATCAAAAGTTTATGTAGGTTTCCAAGCCAATTTAAATTTTTTGACCTTGTTTACCAAACCCTCACCATAGAGATGAATAGAGGTAAATAGTCTATTTATAATTGCTTTGCAACCAAAAATTTAATGACACGATTATTACAAAAGATAATATCAATTATAATAACATTGAAAATAACTACCAGTAGCTTAAAGAAAGTTTGTATAAAATTTGTATGTTACGTTTGTAAATAAAATGTCGAATCAACATAAATGAAGAATATAAAATTTTGTAAAATAGTTTAGGCTGTTACGATGTATATTTTTGCCTAAGGATGTAGCTGTTTTTAGAGTAAGAACTGGAAAGTGGATATTCTTAGGAATAAAAAAAGAAACAGGCATGCCCAGTACTAAACTGGGCGCTTCGGGACTAGACTAAAAAGCTGCAATATTTCCAAACGCCCCATTTCCCAAATAGTTAAGGTATTTTATGCCGGTCTAAACTCTATTTCCACCACATCGCTTAGGCTGATTTATTTCTCTTTCAGAGTCAAATTGATGTCTTCAGCCAGCACGTGTCATTAGTATTATTTTTAAAATGGTATAGTAGTTGTGCACTGGGCACTCAAGACACAGGATTATTTACGCTGGCCACGTGCATTGTATTCCTCTGAACGTGTCTGCAGAAATGAATGACACTCAAACCATTTACAAGTTAGGAACTTACACAACAATGTGACATTACAATGTTCAATCAAAGTTGAGAATATGCCTCTAGCATTTGATTATCCTAATTATTTGTATGTTTTACGTTACTTTATACAATAACTGACATACTACAAGTGCTTTGGTTGTTCAAAAACCTATCATTTGTTGCACTAATAAAACCGTAGAAAATTGAAGTATATTTTATAAAAGCAATAGACCGCAATTTCTATAGGTTTACCGGCGTAATAACCCACTTGGAATACTGGGAGAACACAAGAAAGTTTAGTAAATCACTTGCCTCCGGCTCTTGACTTACCAAGTTTTCTCGTGTTCTACCAACATCCCAAGTGGGTTATTACGCAGGTAAACCTAACGAAAGAGCGGTCAATCCGTCCTTTTTTTTAAATCTGTAAATTGCGTGCAATCTATTTAAAGCGACGATTTAAAACTGTTGAAGCAGACAATGAACTATTTAAGGAATTTACGTTTAGTTGTCACGAACAGGAAGCCGCAACAGTGCACACTTTGTTAAAAGTTATTGGAACAGCTTAGTTTTCAGTAGTTCTCTCGACGACAGTTGTGCTGAAATGATCAGAGTTTTTACCGCTAACCTGTTGCCTGGATTTATACATGCTGTATTCAAGGACATTTAAGAAAACTCGCCATAGAAGAAAGTGAAACGAAAATTGTTATTGAACAGTCAAGTTAGGATTAGATGTCTCGCTTACCTAATGGGGGTTAAAGCTTTTGTATTTAGGCTTCTTTTAAGAACCATCTGGGTTCGCTTACATCCACTCTTGGCTCTCACGGACATTTATTTGACTTTTCTAGTTCCATTTATTAATCATGAGATTGCATTTAGTAAGTAGAATCTTTGTACATATTAATTTGATTTCAGATCGAATAAAATTGTTATTATACGATTGCGAGTTATTTTTCGGATTCTTCGTTTTCTATCGGAACAAAAACTTTAACTAAATTAGAGGCCACATTTTCATGAGCTTAGCGAAGCAGGATGTTTTAGGAAACTAAGGTGATATAAAAGCTACGTGTTTAACACCGTTGTTAACCAATTGGGTCATTTGTTTCTAATTTCTTTTTACAATATCACCCCTGAATCACACATTAAGGTCGCATGAATAAGATAATTGATAACGAACGAGGGACGCTCTTGATTATTAAACGCATTCTCTTTGTCACGACCTTTAAAAATGTATAGAGAACAGTATGGAGAATATGCATACTGATGAAGGCGTACACCTTCCAATACCCATATTTTTAGCCTTTCGGTGAATTAGCCTTGTTTTATTTTGTTCCCTTTTTCTAGCTTGGTTTTTTTTCTTTCTTTTGTTTTAATCATTGGTTTTCTAATTTCCTTGGTTTCCCTTCTCTAGTATTGTTTATGTGCAGTTGAGTAAGTTGCGTCTTTCAAAACTAAGTTGATTTGGGAGCTAAATGTACTTTGCAAAAAACGCCTCTATGGTCTCCGTCATCATGGAAACGTTCCAGTAGTTTGAAAGAAAATTTTAGCTTGTTTTTATGCCGATCACCTTGAACGCCTGGTATGTATACTGAGAAATGAACTTCAACTTCTCCACGTTCTAAAGAAAAAGTCCTAACGAAAAACTTAAATCATTTTTTCATCGACGTTTTCCCCAGTTTTGCCATCTTGGCTCCCTGGGATCCCTAATGAGGTCCTTCCTAACGATTATTTTTTATCAATCACTTCTGACTTAGTCAGTTCTCATGAACAGTCATTGTCATAAATGGAGTTTTAAAATAGTGTTCATAATGATTATTTCATTCTTGAGCTAGCACCTTTGCGCGGCTTCCTACAGACACTTGCTCCTCTTGACTTGCAAATCTCCGCTAATTAGACTCTCACCAGATCCTGCAAAAAAAACCCTGCAATTATGAATATACATAATGATGATTTCTGCAACAAGGCTAAATTTGGCATCATGAAAAACGTTAGGGCTTAGGTCCAACATATTTGAATGTAGACATAACTGATCAAGTAGGCAGGAATGCCTTCACCCTAGACATGACCTCAAGGAACCAGGTCACCCGTGACCAAGGACCCTTCAGTATTTCTTTTGATCGTAAGGAGATGAACGGTATGTTCGTGGGACATGCATGCTCACCTACACAAAGCAAGTTTAAAGAGTGCTTCTCTCTTACGAGTCATTAAATCAAACCAAAGAGACCAAAACAGCCAATAACAATGAAATAAAGATGGACATCCTAAGAAGTTCACGATGACTCAAACAAGACGAAACACATGGTAAATTAAATTGGCGAGTGACCCAGTTGGTCTTGCTTTAAGTTTCGAAAATAATTGACGGCGAAGGAGGCTCAAATTTGCGGGACCAGGTACTTATCGTGAATAAGTTAAGACAAAATCAATTCCCTTCAACATAAAAATGAAGAATCACTTAGATAAATCAATCAGCAAACCAAGTGCTATCTACATTGTAACCCATTGACACTTATCATAAAGATACTTACTCACCCTTTCTCCGTTTCTGGTTGGCTCCCCGTAGTTTTGGCACGTGTGCTCGAATCACTATTACATTTCCAAAACGTAGCCCAACAGCAATAAGAGGCTCATCAGTAGAACATCCTATACAGGTCGGGCGCTCTCCTATGTCCAAGACAGCTAGCACTTCTCCGGACGTAACACTGAAAAGTCGTACGTTAGACTCGTATCTGTAGCAGACCATAGTCTCGCCATCGTTGAGAAACCTGCAGTCGGCGATGTCGTAACAGTTTTCCAGAAAGACATGCTTCTTCCATCCAGTCTTCGCATTGAGAGCGTGCAATCCATAGCCGTCATTCAGAGTATTCCATGTGACGACTACATCTCCCTGAGGAGAAAATACGCAATGGGGATGTCTCCAGTTGCAACCGCCTTGGTAAACGTCGTCTTCTCTCCAGATGGGAACATTTGCCTCACCTCTGTAAAAGAACATTTCACGCTTTCCTGCGTCGTTTTGAGCGCAGAACACCACATCTCTTTGAAGACTGCACGCAATCGATTTCAGTTCTGGTTTACCACTCAAATTTCTTTCAAATACAACTTTCCATGCGGAGACATCAAACAAGGCAATTGTAAGTTCATGTTGTCCTTCGGATGAAAATTTAGGCGTGCATAAAACGCATCCGACAAGATCTTGCGATACAGGAATTAGTCTTTCGATTTCGCCCATCATGGGGATAGAGTTTAGACCTTGAGACAAGTCACCGTTCCATACCTCTAATGTCTTGCTGTCTGTTTGCAAGAGAACACCTTTCTCACCATTGTATGTGACAGTTACAGTCATTATCCCATTCTCAACACGACGTGAACTGTGTTGGAAGGACTTTTCCTGCTTCACTTCCCTGGCATTGTTTGCGTCCCGCATAGTAAATGTCACCAAGCGTGGCTCATCCGTTTCCATTTCTACCGAATGGTTGCAAATGGCGACAGTCGTGTACAAGCGCGTCCTACCGTTGACTGCAGAAAAAGCAGCTTGTGCTGTGCGTGGCATTTCTTTGTCTTGGAGGGAATGAGTAATATCAAGCATCGTCAAGTAATTAACCGTTGGACTCCCGACCACTGCCAAATCTTTTAGTAACGTGAGGCAAAATCCAATTTGCAAGTCTGCAGAAACGATATGGGATGTCTTGCAAACGGCTTTCAATCCATCAACAGAATCATCCGATTCCCACGGCCACAGAAAGACACAAGATGATTGTGACTGAAGCGCTGACACCGAAAGTTTGTACTTGTCTCGGTGATCAGACAGCTCATGTTGGATACTGCCACAGACAAGAGCTCCCGCTTCTGTAAAATGTAACAGTCCACAGGGGTTACCTTCCCCAGAAATGTTTGGAGGTGCTTTCTTCCAGCTGGGACCTTCAACAGCTCGTAACCAGAGTGAGCCACTTGTATTGCAGATCGCAACACGACTTCCATCTTGAGAAATAGCAAAAGAAGCTATGGTTTCTTCGCTCTCGAAGCGTTTGATCTCCTCACCATTCTTGGTGTTCCACATGACCACTTGATGGGCGTTTTCTGGACAATCAGTTAACATCCTAGTTTTGTTACCTGAGAAATAGCAAACATTGAAATGACATTTGCTCCCTGGAAAGAGTGACTTCGGTTCTCCATCTAAGCTGTAAACTTTGGCCAAGTTTCCTGGCAAAATGGAACAACCGTCTGGATGGAAGACAGTGGAACGGTAAAACGACAGCGTCTTTTTCCCAGTCTCATTATCTTCGCACGTCTGTCGAAAAGCACTTCCAAGAGGAACTTCATTGTACGACTTTATCGATTTTAATAAAGCTTTCTCCCACAGCCGCTTTCCAGTCTCAAGCGACCATAACGACGTCGTTCCATCACGACATTCGCTTACCAAGAGTTTTTCGTCTGGGGAAACATCAAAGCAAACCACTTTGTCAGAGCAGAAAAATCGACCAACAACAGGGCCTTGATGACCATTTTTGTCTAACAGCTCCATATATGGTATTTCTGGATGAGACCTCAAAAGAGTATCAGACACCTGTTGATAAAGTGCTGATCCTCCTTCATTGAGTAAGTTTTGGAAAATCATCCCAGGATTATCTCGAAGCAGCTTAGGGTTTTTCTTGAATTGTAGTAAAAGGCTTTCAATTGTATTGTGGATTTCTTCGCTTAATTCCCTTGAATTCGGATGTTCTTGCACAAGAACAAGATCCTTAAGCACATCCGTGTCCTCTGTACGTAGCTTGGCATAAACGAGTTCGAGATCTGTCACGTACCCTTGAACTAATTCTTCCATTTGAGCGCTTTCAGTCTCACATGCTTCCAGCATGTGCTTGACACAGTGTCGCAAGGCGTATTTCTTCTTTGCTTGAGTCGACGGTCCACCACGTCCCTTCAAAATTTCAAGTGCTTTAGCGCACAACTTAGACAGAATCTTATGACCTTCCTTCTCCTCTACGAAGAAAAATCCATTGGACGGGTCTGTCAACCAATCCTTGATAGATTTGTGGAACATGTGAACATGGTCGTCTCGAAGAATGAAAAGAGAAGAAATACAGCCAATAACACCCTCAAGTTTTCGCTGATCGCTCAAGGGATCACTTTCTGAAGTGTTACGGTTTTGCAGCAGTATGTCCACGATGAAATCTTTGTGCAAAGGTTCTACAGAAACAGTCAAAGCACTCAGAAAATCAGTCAAAAAACTGCCATAGTTGTCCTTCAATTCTTCCTTCAGTCTTTTCTCCATTCGCTCAAAATAGGACTGGTAAACTGAGGAAATGCCATGTGGGAATTGTCGACGAAGTTCCTCTGGACTTACTGGTGATGTGCCGTCTTGGATCATTCGTATTAAAAAGTATGCGAAGAGCATCGAGCCATCCGAGAGATGGACCAACTCTTGTACAATTGCGCTGAGGCTGTCTGGGTTTGTTACATCAGAATTCAGTTTCTTTTCAAAGAAAGTTTTGATATCATCACGATTCTGCTCATCCTCTTGTTGCAACTTGAAAATCTTCAGATTTCTTAGCTTGTCTGAGATGTTTTTCTCTGGTCTTGCGGTAATAAGAAATCTTATCCAAAGCGGCAATTTGGATAAGTAATTGGCGATGACATCAAGTAACTCATTGCGTCCATCGAGTTCACTTTCGTCCAGGGCATCTATTACCACGAGGACGTTTCTGCCAGGGTCTTCCACAGCAGAAAGGGGTTCTTTAAACAGCCACACAAAGAGATCTTCAACTTTCATATCTTCTAGCGCTTTCCTGCAGTCACTGGAGAGCTGCTTTACGAGGGCAGCTTTGTATTCTGGCAATTTCGAGCTTAACTGGTAGGCCAGTGATTGAAGCATTCGTTTCGGATCACGGTAGAAGTCGCAGCTGTGTTGACAAAAATGACACCCTATTAGCCTGTCTTCCTTTTGCATTCTCTTGCAAATGACTGCACTGGCGACGGACTTTCCCATTCCGGCAGCTGCAGTGATCAGCATTGCACGGTGCGGCGACCTCCTGTCATCTAACCAATGTTTTACCTTATTGAAGATCCACTCACGCGTTCCGTCTTGAAATTTAGTAAGGTAATGGTTTATGTCTCCTTTAAAATCAAAGTGTGCCAGTTTCTCTAACTCTTCCTCTTCCTTTAAGGCATCTATTTCATTCCTATCTAATCCGAGGGCAACCAAAGCATCAGCAATTTCCTCCCAGTAGGTGTTGAACTTATGCATGGGAACTCCAGTTGATGGAGCATGATAGAGCAGATTTCGAAAATACCTGATGCGAACAATATTTGCTTCTGTGGACTTGTCGCTCGGAGGAGGCTTGTTGTTCCATCCGGTGTTCGGAGGAGACAAACCACAAATGTTGGTTAAGAGGATCACAAGCAGTGTTATGTCAAACGACTCACATTCTGGTTGCGTTCCATCAAGCGGAAAGAGCTTTTCCCATTGATTATTATGAAGAACCTTATTACGTTTGAGACTTAATAGTGTTTGTTTGTGTTGACTGAGCGAAGTAGCTAGTAGTGGAAAGGGGTGATATGTATTCAGGAGTTTCCTTAATGCTGCTCCTCCCTCATTAATAACAAGATTCCGTAACTTCTCACCATTGCTCTTTTCTATGGAACTGGCAAAGGGTGATGTTGGAGGACTCTCTATGGCTACGCACGTGGAAACATTGATCTTTTCCTTTTCAGGGGCACAGGCCATGAGTTGTTTATTTTCACTGAGAATATGAATAACATTAGAACTCTCACAAAGATTTTACTCAATATCATCCCATTTTCAGCACTCAATTAAATATATCACTCTACAGTCGAACTAACGTTACTTGATCCAAAACTCGATGGACTGTCATAGTATACTTTCTTCTTCCCTAGCTTTATGTCACTAATTTTCGCTTGGATCTTTATTATAAAACAGACAAAATGCTGAATAAATAGTAGCAAAATAGAAGAGTAGACGTTCAAAATGCCATTCTATGTTGACAGACGAAAACGATCAACCTTTCAATCGCAACTGGCTAACAGCCTGGTAAAAATATATCAGACATTTTCCCATCCAATGAAGTTCAATTGTTTGGAGCTTTCCGTGTGTCAATAACTCAAGTAGTTCCTGGCTGCCTCAGGAACGGAGAAACTCTGCAAACTTTAATTTGTTCATTTTTTTTCATGAGCCAAGAGAAAATAATGGGACATTTTCTCTTGCATAAGCTTAGGGTAAAGTAAAATTTTATCATGCAGAGGTAGTGTAATTTTCGTTATTGTGACTGGAGAGACTTCTGAACCTTCTTCGTTCATCATTTTTTACCTGATAGGAAAATTTATGTACCTTCCATATATTTCCTCTAAGAGATCTAATTCTTATATTTTCCTTTACATATGAGAGAAAAAAAAAACATATAACGCTTCACTACACTTAACTATGAAATCTATATGAAAATCGAAGTTTATAACTTCCTTTCAAACACAACGATATAAATACCATTGAACTGTGTTTTCAACATCACATCCGGAATTGTGAGCGCAAGGTCACAGCCTCGAAAGTAATTTATTTGCCTCACACAGCCTTCTGTCACTGCCCTGTACACACAGGTCGTTTTCTCACAAAATTCAGCCTATTTACTATACTGTTATTAAAACGATTCAGACCAAGAACTTCGAACATTTACGCTTATATCTCTAATATAACTTAACATCGTTATGCTAAAGATCTCTGGTAAGGCTGCAATGGACTTTATCCGGGCTTAAAAAAAACTTTTGCTTCGGCTCAATAGATTAGTCAAAATGTCAGAATAATTACCGTCAATTTCTCGACAGATTTCGATATAGCTTACTCAAGCCCGCCTTAGTATGAATTGTAGACTTGATTTAAGCTTATCATAACCCTGCTTTCCTAGAAAAACAGCTTACTCTCTTAGTGGATCGCTCATTATCACGAGACAATGGCACGCTTACTGAACTGTCGGTTAGCAGTCACATACTGTTCATGCAAACCCGCTTAGATTATTTCAAATTCGCAAGCAATGGTAAAGGCAAAATGTTCCATGGAACACTGCACTGGAAATATAGCCCGTCGCATTATAAGCATCTTTTATCGGATATAGCGACACCTTTTCTAGGAATTCCTATATTTTCAGTCCGATAATAAATCGATCGAGGTAGCCCTACGGCATTCCGACTACTACGTGGTTGCGTTATTTCCGAGAAAGAATATTTTCAGACGTTAATTACGACAAAATTTCGCTGCCTGCTCTCTTGCTCCCTCTGGCAATTGAGTGACAAAGACATTTTGACCCTTTCACAACATGCAATTAGTGCAGCAAACTCTCCTATGCGGGTAGTTTTTAACGATCTTTACCTATGGCGCTTCACCTAATCAACGGGAGATGTAAACATATTTCCGTTGTTACACACGCGGTGTTCGCTGTATCAGGTAAGCCATTTCCCAGAATTTGAGTCGGATCGCATGGACTCTACTGATCTTCTAAACTTGCACTGAATAGTAAGAGCGTATTCAACTGTATTCTAGGTAGGAGAAAAGCTGCAAAATTCCTAATTGAAGCCAGGAATGAGGTCATGTGGAAACCTAGATATAAGGCATAGAACATATTAGAAAGACATACCTGCCAACAATTATTCTCTGCTAGACGTCAACACAAAGAATGTGTTTCCTTTGAGTAGTTTACTGAAAAAACAGGGCACTTTGCTCGACTCACTCTGTTCAGAATTATTGTCTATCGGCTGCGCTTCTATATAGATGAAGGTATAGATTGAGTCATCTGCTCTTCGAGAACCTCTTCGCAGCCCAACGGTATAATATCAACGGTATATATGTCTAATTGGTCATGCGTATGAACGGCGATCCTCATTGGCTCTTTTAGGCATTACAAACAATAGGCTATTGACGGCCGATTGAATTTCAATGGCGTATTTATTTTGCGAGGAAACACAGCATGCTATTGATTATTAAAATTCTGAGAATCGCCAAAAATTCAGGCTTGTATTACTAAGACGAAAAAGGACTCATCAAAATTTCTCGCCCAGCGAAGCCAACAAACACCCTTCAACAGCTAAAGCATCCTTGGCAATCATCAGTATTGTTGTCGATGATATACAAACTCTGGAGAGCTGCTCGTCGAGTCGCTATGGAGACATGCCTGCGAGTGCCTGTGTACATGTAACTCGCGGTTGTGAGAGCTTTGAATGTTAGGCGGCGGGGCCGCGAGAGGTTTGAGACGGAAAATAGTAATTTTCGCACACAAAATCGCCAGTTAAGCCGGCTAGTGGAGGCAAGATCAGATGAGATTTAATGGCAAACAAAGCTTCAAAATCTCGACCGCGACAGGTCGAATACCGTGTAATAATTCTCGGAAACAAATGAGAAAAAGGTATCTTGAAAGAGTATCCGCAATTTGACCTCGCAGTGACATAAAGAATTCATGACTGATTCTAAATATAGACTTCGTTGAACTCTGCCAAAAAGAATTTTGATGTAATTTCCATTTATCATTTAGGGTTGCTGTGTCACTGTCTATCCGTTGCCTGAGAGAAAAGCAAGACGATTTGTTTTATCGTCATCAGTTCAGTAGTAAAGGACATCGGATTCGAATGAGATGAGATTCTAAGAAAAATATTGTCGCTGAGATATCACTGTATGGCTGAGAGTGCGGAGAATTGGCATTTACATCCTGAAAGTAGAAAGTAGGAAGGTTTTGAGAGATCATGACAGCGTTGCGTGACACGAAAACGTTTCCTTCTTTTCTTTAAGATCTTCCGCGAAAAATAAACCTTGACATTTTAACTCATTACTTTAAAATTTTAAGAAACAAAATTGGACTTTACCGGTATCTAAGTTTTACCTTCTCAGTATGTTAGATGCCTATTTTCTTGTTACTCAACCAATGATTATTTAAATTAAGAACGGGCTGACTTTTACCTAGCTCTTCAAATCCCATAAGAGACCGAAACAGAACTTCTCCTTTCAATATCAACTGGATTTCAAGCGGACAAGCGATGAGAAAAAGGGGAGCATAAGTTGATCCAATACTAAATTCTCCAAACTAACATAATAAGAATTGTTCTGCATAGACTAGGGAGAATCACTAATGAGATCTGTGAGTGGAAGGGCGAAGAATGCAGAAGTGGGGTGAAAAGAAGTAGGTCGATCTATTTTTGTAAGTTTAAACTGAACTAGATTTATATTTTTCTCTTCGAGGAAATGGCATCATTGACTTTAGAGAATTTCTCCACCTGATGGACACCCGGATGAAAGAAACAGACACAGAAGCAGAGATACGAGAAATGTTCAAAGTGTTGGACATGGATGGTAACGGGTTTATAAGTGCTGAAGAATTCAAGAGGACCATGATGAACCTTGGTAATCAGTTGACCGAAGAAGAAGTCAATCAAATCATCTAGACGGCTGATTTTTAATTTTTTTTTTTTTAATTTTAAAATCTTTATTAAGTCATAAGATAAATAATCACATATCCTATGTTACAACATTAAAAGAAGGTATATATATAAATTACAGAGAAAATCAAGATAAAAATTATAAGACTAGATTATGTTTAAAAATTAAGCGATTAACAAACGTGTTTTTGAACCTATCAGTGTTTATTTTAGGATGGTGACTTGTCTCTTTCCTCAGATTGTACTTGGTTAATTTCTTTTTTGGCATTATAGCTCTTAAAGGGTGTATTGTATTATTAAAAACATTCTTGAAGATACGCGTGTCCTGTTGAACTAACATTCATAAACATTAATGTGATCGGATGTATACTTGCGCTTATAACATCGATCTAAGAAACATTGGATTGTTGTTAATTCGGAATTTACAGCGCCAAATACGGACAGCCCGTATAATATATTTGGTAGAACCAGATTTAGAAACAGATGGTCTATTTCGGCCTGATTGTACCCTTCTTTCCTTAAAGATCTTAAAATGAACAGGCACTTGTTTGCTTTAATTAGTTTTTCCCGAATATGTGTTATGAACCTACTGTCTTCCTGAAATGTTACCCCTAAAATAGTAAGCTCTTTTGTCTGTGGTATTCCAGACACCATCGGAAACTCTATTGTACAACCTTTCTTGCGGAAAATGATTTCCTTGCACTTAGATGGATTGCTACACATACCATTACTTCTAGACCACTGGGAAAACTGATTAATCAGTGCGATAGAATTGTCATTATCACCTATCACAGGCGAGATAATGGTTGTATCATCTGCATATTTTACCAGCACGCTCTTATTGTCCAAGTGTATCTCTAAATCACTGAGAAAGACATTGAACAAGTGCGGCCCGCTGACACTTCCTTGGGTGGTACCTTTGTTGACACTTTTCCATTTTCCAATAAACCCATTTCTAATGACTCTCTGCTGCCTGTCTTCCAAAAAGCTTAGATACCAGTTAACTATAAGGGTGTATGGCGAATGGCGACAGACAAATTTGTCTGGAGGGTAATTTCCATTTTTTTGGTTCTCTTCTTTTTCATGTCCAGTGTTCGATTGTCTCATCGGTGTTTGATCTTTCGACTTTTTCTCTTTGCCTTACAGTTTTGTTTGCACGTGTGATATAACAACTGGCTAACCCTGTCTCGTTTTTTGGGGTTCATAAAATTACAAGTTTATGTAGGTTTCCAAGCCAATTTATATTTTGACCTTGTTTACCAGACCCTCAACATGGAGGCAAATAGAGGTAAATAGTCTATTTATAATTTCTTTGCAACTAAAAATTTAATTACACGATTATTGCAAAAGATAATGTCACTAGCTGCATTGAAAAGAACTACCAGTAGTTAAAAGAAAGTTTGTATAAACTCTTTTTCCAACACATCGCTCAAGCTGATTTATTTCTCTTTCAGAGTTTGTCAAAATGATGTCCTCATGAGCCAGCACGTGCCATTAGCATTATTTAATGGTACAGTAGTTGTGCACTGGGCACTCAAGATACAGGATCGTTAAACCTGGCATCGTGCTCTGTATTTCTCTGAACGTGTCTGTAAAAATGAGTAGGACTCAAACGATCTAGAAGTTATGAACTTACACAACAGTGTTCAATCAAAGCCAAGGATATGCCTCTAGCATTTAATTATCCTGATGATTTGTATGTTTTACGTAACTTTATATAGTTACTGACATACCACAAGTGCCTTGGTTGTTATCATTTGTTGCACAGATAAAACCGTAGAAAATTGAAGTATATTATATAAAAGCAATAGACCGCACTTTCTACAGGTTTACAGGCGTAATAACCCACTTGGGATGTTGGGAGAACACAAGAAAAGTTGGTTAATCACTTGCCTTGGGCTCTTGATTTACCAACTTTTCTCGTGTTCTACCAACATCTCAAGTGGGTTATTACGCTTGTAAACCTATCGAAAGTGCGGTCCATTAGTCAAATTCTCAAAAAATTTGTAAATAGCGCGCAATCTATTTTAAGGGACGATTTAAGACTTTAACTAGATTAGAGACCACATCTTCTTGAGCCTGGCGAAGCAGAATGTTTTAGGAAACCAAGGTGACATAAAAGCTACTTGTTCAACACCGTTGTTAACCCATTGAGTCACTTGCATCTAATTTCTTTTTACAAAATCACCCCTGAATCACACATTAAGGTCACATGGCTAAGGTAAAAGATAACCAACGAGAGACGCTTTTGATTGTTAAACAAATTCTCCTTCTCAGCCACTTTACTTACACAATCTAAATGGCTAACACCCACGTAATCTAAATTTAGATCATTGGGTTAAAGCCGTCCTAAATGACCATCTAAGTCTTCCCAGTAGCTCATTAGATATGCATAAACATTTCGACCAATCTGATCCTTCACTCTTCGGTGGACGAGCCAAGGTGATCGCTACGAAATGCGTCGGTTAAAGCCCGTTTTCTTAGATGTGAAGAATATTGGGCGCGATGGAGGAGCAACTTCAGAATACCCCGCAACTCATTTACATGTCATTGAATAAGAATAGCGTCTATTGTGTTATGCCTCGATCTTTAAAGCCTCCCGACACATCTAAGTGAGGCGGACCAAAGTGGCGGGGTATTCTGAAGTTTAGCCGGAAAATAGTCAGGACACCAACAGTCCAGTAGAACAAGATGTCCCTCTTGGCGATCTCGATAAGCAGGAACTCTCAACTCAACAGCAAAATCGCGTTTTGAGTATCTCTGCTAACTGGGAAAAGGTACGGGAAAAGTTGCTGAATTCGTACATTGAAGAACAGCATCTCCCAGACAATGTGAACTGTGTGAACTGTCAAAAGAGTATCGCTACAACAAGATGTGAGTACTGTGGCCCTCGCCAGTACTTTTGTGTTGGATGTGCACGAGCTCTACATGTCAATCGAAACAAGTTTCATGTACTTGAGCAATGGAAGGTGTGTATGAATATTTTGGGGCCAGTTGTATTCTAGCTACTTTTAGTGTAACATATCTAGTTAAACTGTACTTTTATCTACTTCTTGCTTTCTTTATTTTAATAGGATGGGGTATTTTCTCCTTTGTATGCAGACGAGGCAACTGTTAGCTATGGCCATACGTGCAGAACCGCAGCAGTAAAGCTGTTCAGACTTCTGGATGCCTCAGGTCAGTTCATTTCATTTATAGTGGTTGGAGAATACTAGAATGGTTTAAAAACGAAGCGTTCTTTTTCAATTTTATCTGTTCCTTTTTCACATTTTCCTGCCGCTTGCCTAAAATCAAGAACGCTAATGATCTTAATGATAATGATACGATTTAAATTCTCTCAACATGTCAGTGCCAGTAACTAAAATCAAACAATCAGATTGCTCCATTGCCTGTCAAATATTTTCTAAGTATTGGACTGGGTAATGTCCTGAATGATCCCACATGCAATTAAGTTTTTTAATGGCTTGCCAAAGAGAAACAATAAACTTGGCTTGCATCTATCTGTAAGAACCTTTTCTGTCATGCTGGGAGAATATTGGCCTTGGACTTTTCTGTACAGACCTCGCTGCACTTGGTTTGTACTGTCAAGACCTTGGGCCAATATTCTCTTAGTATGGCCCTTGCACTTGGTTAATAAGGTGTCTATACAGCCCTCAACAAAGTAAGAGGTATTTAAAGCTGTATGTAATGTTTTTTTTCATTTTGTTTACTTAACTTCTTAAGTTGTTCATTTATTTTTCTATGAATGTCAGGAAATCGTCACCTCAAATATGTACAAGTGTGTGATTGTGAGCTGCATGCTGTCACACTCTTGAAATGCCAGTTCTGGCCAGGGTCACCAGCAAATCCCACCACAGGATTCAGCTTCAAACTGATGGAGTTTGTGGAGAAGGTCTTTCTTCTTTGTCAAGTGTCCCTGCTAAACATCACAGAAGTGATCACAGAACTCAATCCTCAGCTACAGCCAACACATGTAGGTTTGCTCGCAAACAGTCTTTTTGAGACATGACATGACTTTTTTTAATTGATTGATTCTGGTTGAATGGTATGTTTTTTTTTTAAGGTGAGTTCAATTTACAGTATCCTTAATTCAGAATGCTTTGAAGAATTCAGGTATGTTTGCACATAGGTTGAGAATATCAGAGCTGCTAATTTGTGGATGTACAATGTCTTCTAAGGTATTATTGATATTAGAATTAATATTATTTTTACTATTATTATTGTTGTTGTTCTTGTTATATTAGTATTATTAATATTATTATTAGTAGTAGTAGTAGAGGTAGTCACATGATTTACAAGTGCTTATTTATATTATTATTTTATTCATTTATTTATTATCTAGTCCCCCAGCTAATATAGATCTCAAACTCATGCTTTGCTTTTGTCGCTTTTGTGTTCATATGATTCAAAGATACATTGACTGTTTGCTTTAAGGTCAAGATGCCATTTACATTAATTTACAAAACATCTTTCTTGTTGTACATGTACATTTACTTACTTTCTTTAAGAAAGTCCTGATTGACATTTTGTTGTTTTCACATGAAGGTATTTCATGTATCAGTACAGGCATTGTACAAAGTACAATGGAAGTTTGTACAATGGAGCTTGGTGTCCTATATGTCCAAGGGTAACTATACATTGTAATTTGTTCTGAATAGTAGCTAATGCGCTGTAGTTCTGCAGTATTAATTTTATGTTGTTGTTGCTGTTCTTTTTTATATCTATTTTTCTCTTTTCCCCTCTCTTTTGAACAGGATGATGGTGTTCTCATTGAAAGCATGGATGGGTGCTTTGGACTGTGCAGAAAGAAGGACAAAGGGCATAATTTAGGAACACCCAAACATGGAACACTCCTATTAGCAGACCAGGATGATGTTGACAATTTTGTCAACAGTCATGGCAAAGCTGGAGCAGACATGGAACAGGTCTGTACTTAAGATAATGCAATGCTCATACATTATGGCATAAATGTTAATTTGAAAACTGTATGATTTTCCTTTTGGCCCTTTAAATTCAAGATTTTCTGTTTTTGTCCCTTTTTTTTTTCACAGAACTGCAGTAAGTTCCATGCTGGAGAGGTTCTTTCAGCTTTAAGATCAAAAGGCAAAAACAAACTCTTTGACGAGAAAGGTGTCTTTGGGTGAGTATGCAGACATGACTTTCCCAAAGGATTCCATGACATAAAGCATGGTGAAAGGTATGGAGTATGTAAATACATTTTACCTAATGTTGTGCTCAATCCTATATGTATTGTCTGTTAGAGAGTTACATGATACAGCCATTATTATGAATTTGTCAAGCTGACAATTGGCACACTTGTATACACAATACAGGTGCATCCTATGATTCTTTGCACTATTAGCATCACTATTGTATAACTTTGTTATTAATTTGAATTTCATATTATAGGAAATATGTTCAATTTGTCTTAGTTTTGTGTAAAAAGATATAAAAGAAAAAATTGGTTATTGATTCACCTTTTCAACAATCTTTTCTCTCTACAGAATATCATACTCTGTTTATGAGCTTAAGAGGCTTAGAAGTCTTAATGAGAGCACCAGAAACAGAGTAATCATCATGTATGACATTGCTTGTCTATTAGCACACCATTTGAAGGTAACTAAATTTTTTTAACATGGATGTGCAGGAGGCTAAATGGTAATCTAAAGTGGTATTTAATTATGTAGAATTGTCCAAAGTATTTTCTATTAAATTTGGGATGAAATAAAATAATATACTGAAACAGACTGGAATTATGTGAATTGTGGAAAGGAAATGAAGATGTAATCATCAGAGTTATTTACTGAATTTTGAGCAATTGGCTTAATCAAATAAAATGTCATTTTTGCAACTGACGTAATTCCATTGTCTGTTTCATCACTTCCTTTCATGGGTACTGGCTTGCTCCCAACATATGGGGGTTCATAGTTCAGTGGGTAGAGCATTGCAATGACAATGTCATGGGCTCAAATCCCAGTGGGGCCAGATTCTTTTCTTCTTTGTGTTTGGTTAAATTCCCATTATTGCTTACATTTAAATTGCATGAATATCTGTGAGGATCACATCTTAACTTCAGAATAGTTTATTACTACTGACACAATTTTCATTTACATGTACATGATTATATTTATTAGTGTTCATCTCAGGAAAGCCTCTTGGAAGGTGTTGATGTTGCCATACCCATATTCCATTCCTATGGGCACAAGGCATCATGCCAGGTTAGTATATATCAGTTTAACAGTAAATGGCCTTGTGGCAATGTGAAGAAATGTGTGGCAATACCTCAACATTGGTTAAATACAGTTGTAATCATACACATCCCATACTTACCTACCAATGGGTGAGCAGTGTGGGATCTGAAATCTGACAGCAGTTTCTAAAATTGAAAGCAAATGATCTGCAAGGGTCAGCTAAGCAAGCAAGGTGAAATATTTAAGCACATGTACATGTTCCTTATAAAAGAGTGGCCACCCTACATAAGCCTTGCTTTGGAAATGACCACTAACCAGTGAGCCTTTACTCAAGGTTAATTTTACCTAGAATGAAAATTAAATTTTTAAGTATATAGCCTGCAGTGCAGGTGGTTTTGGTGGTTGTCATCTTTTGAGTGTTTGTTTTACTGGAAAGTTGGGGCAAAAATACAATGCGTGAGGAGGTCTCATGCTCCAACTCTCCACTGTTTTCCTAATTCAAGATGGTGCTTTGAACACTCAAGTTGGAAATATTTATTCACACTGCTAAAATCTGCCTGCACTGCAGGCTAGTACATGTATTTGCTAAATATCTGATGCAAGGTCCATGCCATATTAATGCTTTTATCTTCAATAATGGTTTTATCTTCAATATGATTGTCTGTAGATCCAGTACAGTCCAAGAAGGATCAAGGGAACTGGATTGACAGATGGTGAAGGGGTGGAAAGGTTATGGTCCTTTCTGCGAAGGTTTTCCTCTGTCACTAAAGAAATGAGTGCTCACAAAAGGACAGATGTTTTGACTGATGGGCTTCTTCACTATGCCCAACATTTGTATCACAAATTTGGTATGGTTAATTTTATTGAACACATAACTTTCACATTTCTGTGGGTTTTGCTGAAAAGTAAAGGGGATATCAACTATTGACCAGTGCTTTAGCTGGACAGCTTTATCTACCCTGTGTTTTCTGTTGTAGTTGCAATTCTTCATTTTTTCAATATGGACATGTGTAATGTATGTACAGATGTAACTCGAGGTTGACTAGTCTTATTAGTACACATCAAACTGATTCCTTTTAATGTTCACAGGTGTTACTCTAAAAGCAAAGTTTGCAAGGGCAGAAATTCTTCTACAGGATGTCAGTGCAAAGCTTAAGGAACTCACTGAAAAACTTCCAGGTATACATTTTAAACCTTTTTTTTTTAACTCATTGCATTGAAAAACAGCACAATGACTTACATGCATGCTATATGATTATTGCAAATTATACTTGTATTTACCTGTACTAGATTGTGATGATGATGTGATACAAGAGTGGCAAAAGGAAGAAGTTGAAGCACTGAAACCAAAAGAACACGGTAGTTTTATTCCTCAGCATTTGTTAACAATCATTAGGGAGAACAGTTTTTTTTGTATTCACTAATATATTATTAATCTGTCACAGGATTAATACTGCAGTGGGACGAATCATATGTCAGCTTGCTCCTCATGTCTAAAAAACTCAGGTATATAGTGTGTGGAAGTACCACCTACCAAATTATTCATGACTTACATTAGCGAGTACCTGAGCTTTTCGAAAGCGATTAAACTTGTAAAAGGCGAAATTCCTACCTAACCAATCGTTGTAGTGGACTACGTGAAACTGATCCTTTAGTTGATTCATGGCATTACCTGATCCTTTGTGACCTCGGCTTAAATAGAGCTGTTTTGTAGAGCTTTCTTCGGTCAAACCCAGTCTGGTCAAGTCAGGTAAAAAACCAGTCAGCTTAGCGGTATTTAATAAATCCACTTTGGAGCCAACTTTGTCGTTGTTAGTCATTGTCTCGAGGATAGTCAACAGCCGTAATAGATTCCGGCCTTCCCGCAGCCAGCGAGTGCCCCTAGGAAAGCCTTTTCCCAGAAGAAGTTTATCGGGTTGTCCCCCGTCCGTCCGTTTATTTGTGAAGGCAAAAACCTGTTTTCACAATAATATAAATATAGTATTCGTACTCCCCTTTCTTTCCACCTTAGCAAATATAATTACTAAGTATTAAACTGAACATATTGTGTACGTATCTCCACCCATTGAAATTTTTTTTCAGAAATGAATTGAGCTGTGTACAAGATGAAGATCAAGGGAAAGTAAAAGATGTTGAAAAGAAAATCAAACGGTAAGTCATAAATATGCAAATTCCTTCCTTGCAGCAACGACTGGAATAATCAGGTTCTACAGACAGAGAATTAAGGGTGCCGAAATTAAAAACAAATAATAAATCTCTCTAACTTACATTTATTGTACATAGGAACGAGAAGGCCATAGTAGCCATGGAAAAGAAGCATCACATCAGAGAAAGATGGTCCGATCTGTCTCGTGTGTTTGTAACCGTTAAGTTACGTCTCTACGAGAAGAGAAAGAGCGAACTCTTGTTGAGTTTACATTGCATGGCATCCGAAAGATGTTTCTTGGTGGAATTGAAGCGAAAATATGCTGGTAATAAACTGAAGAAACTGCTATGTAAAATATTTAGTAGCATGTGTATTTTGGTGATCATGGTCTGCAGTAATTCCGTCGTTATGTTGCTGAGTATGCCCGTTGTTTTTAACTGCGACTCTAGGCATTGTACTGGGATTATTTGATTAGGGGTATGAGGGCTAAATTTTCCCAGTTCTCAAGTCTTACACATTTACATTTTTCCGTCTAATCCGTAAAACTGCCACTGAATTGCGTTTTTAGTTATTATGAACTTTTTAATTTTCAGATGGCCAAGCAATTGCCATAAAGCTCGCAAAGCAGATCGACAAAGTCGTCAAGTCCATTCACAAAACTTTGTCCGAAATAAATGGGTATCTTCCCAATGATGTACCCCAAATTCTTTATGACGATGCTAAGGATCCTAAGAGCAGCATTTACTCTGAAGTCCAAGAGGAAGGGGACACCGTTCCTGCTCTTGTTAGGAGGCAGATAATTGACCTTTTCTGCTTACACAACAGGTGTCAGGAAGAGCTTGAACTGTTGAAGGAGGAAATGAATCGCCCTGTCTCTTTTCTCCAAAACGAAATCAGGCTTATAGACGAATCAGTGGATGCGTATCTGCCTTACACTGATAACCCTCTTAATGCAGGAGTGATAGCTTGTCTTAAAAAGAAACGGATGATTCATTGTAATCACATTTCCTCGCTGCTGCTTTTATGGGGTGGTATCTTGGATTCCCCTAAACCTATTGCTCATGCTGAGGTAGCAAAAACCTATGCTAATTTGAGTGGTATCGACTATCCTCTAGATGACGAGAAATCAGACGAATCGATGATGGAGGAAGTTGTGGACGATGAGGCCTTTGTGTTGGAACTGACATCAGACAGCGAATTATCCGATAATGAATAAAACTCATTTTGTCGCTGGCGCTTGCCAAAACCATACAGAAACAGCCTCTGTTTTGTTTATGTGCGCGTGCCAATAGCGGGTAAACTTCTCGGAAAACCCAACAAATATCAATACATTGTGTAGGATTATACTGACTGGCCAAGCATCACAATATGTTTTAATAAATTCTCACCGATGGCAAATTTCATCTCGGTGGTGATTTGTAGCAGTTTTTACGTTATTAGGATTATACGTAGCATGTGTAGACGGCGTATTTTATATGCTGATCGGTGCCGAAGCCCCCTCAACGGACACTCGTAAGTGGACAGCTGTACTTACCCACCTAGTCAAAACTCCATTTTATTAGACTCCCATACAAACTCTGTATTCTGATATTATTAAAAATCATGTTTGTATGGATTGGAGTTCACTGGAGGTACAATTGTAGGCGTGGAACAGATGTCGGACCATGAGTCACCGTTATCAATTTTGAGAGGTCCACCATTGTCGAACAAAAACATTAGTCATCTTTGTCCATCTGTACCAAAAGGAATGATAGATAAATAGATATTAGCAAGTATGGGGTGGGTGCCTCGAATATCTTTATAAACTCCGTATTATAATTATCGCATATATAAGGCACTTTATAACTTAGGTTTGAATACTCTAGTTGACAAGCCAAATACTGAATTTGGTCGTTGTTCTCCTGTACATTGTCAATTCGGACCATCCTTACTGAACTGAGGTGACGCTTTTTGAGCGTTGCATGCTTAACCATCACCCGTCTTACAAAAATGGCCATGCAGATATACCCATGTACCACCTTTCATTCTTAGATGGCAATGGATCTCATTGTGTAACCTTACTATACAGTGCCTCTTATGTACGCAGTCACATTAACTGAGTATATATATATACATGCTCCTAACAAATCTGTCTTGAAAGTGTTTAGGCAATACATATCTTGGTGGCATCCATGAAATAGTGAATATGAGCCACATAATTTCAAATTTCTGTTTTGTATGATATCAAGTAAAATATATCAGTATACGTCCTTCGTGAGGCCATAACGAAATTGACACACCCGTAACGGAATTAGCACGTGCCGGAATTACTGAGAAAAAGTTATAAGTTGTAATTATTTCAGGCGATTTAACGGATTGTGTTGTTGAAATGGTAAACAGCCAGTCAGTGCTACTCTGCAAAAGTGTCCTGCATATTGCGCAGTGGTTTAACGCATTCAATTGCTAACTCTAGATCTTCGCTTTATTCGTTAAGTTGTGTTGTACTGTCACTGTACATCAAGTAGCAAATGAACCACAAGTCACACGCGACGTCGATCGTCGTCCAACCTCGATGATACTAGAATATTTCTTAAAATATCATTATCCTGACGAAATTAATGTTAAGTAATAGTTTTATCTACTAGTTTCTTCCTAAAATTGTTCTAAAGGTCTTTTTTTTTTGTCCTTTTCTAGACAGTCCAGTAGTCAGGTTTAGCACATGATTTCGTTATAGCATTAAACTACCGTATTCCTCATCAGTGTTCAAATTGTGTATACGGACGGATATTTTTAAAGATTATTTTTGAAGGTGAATTCATGCTTCTGCCAAAAGATATCATAACAGCCAAAAGATATATCATAACAGCTATTTACTGTGGGTTGGCTAACCATGTGAAGTTTTTCTAAATTCTTTTAACGAAATTAGCACAATGAGTGCTGATGTCCTTGCGCCATGATAATATGAAACTTCTCCATTACATCGAGGAGAAGCCATGTTTTTCCGTCGATCAAAGTACCAAACGTAGAAACATTTTGTCTAGGTAGGGTCGGGGGGGGGGGGGGGGGAAGTTAAGGTGTGAGACGTGGGAGGCGGGAGAAGGGGGAGGCGAGGAAAAAGAGACGGGATGGTGACGCACTGAGACACTGAGACACTGCGATTCATTTTTTTTTTAATCCATTGCAACTGGAAAAAAAAAACGCAAAACGTGTTGTGCGTGGCATATCTGTAAACTACATTTCCGAACTGAAAGATTCGGATCGAAGGCTGAGGAATGCTAGAGCAGTTTACCTCTAACATCAATGGACTGGGAACCAGACCCCCAGACAAGCCACAGGGAGCGAGGTCACGAACTTACGCTGCTCTTTGCGCCCTTTGAAATGTATTTCCATTTTGAAAACGGATACGACCCAAGCGATCTTGTTGTTCAAATTCGCCAAGAAAAGAAAGTGGCAAAGGATATTGGATTAACGCAAAGAAGCCACTTTCTCGGTTTAATGGAAAACCTTGTTTGCCATTTCCATGAGATCCGAAACGTGGAGTCGACAACCTCAATTCGTACAGGAATGTCAATGGAATTGATAAAGATGAAGATGTCCAACGAGGCCGAAAGCATTTTAAGTCATTTGAATGATCATAACCCGCCAAAGCCACCACAGCGGAAGAAACGACTGAGGAAAAAACTTTATAAATATCCCTGAAGTGTGAGTATGCAGCTTTCAATGTTACGCACTAGACGGGGTCAGGAGGAGGGGTCAAGCAAGGTTTGGGGATTTTGATATTTTCTGTCCAAATAATTTTCAAATATGCCACCCCAGTCTGGACACCGAAATTGGTAAAAAATATCAAAATCCCTACACTGGGGCAAGTGAGTGTGGTCATTTATAACGAAGTGCCAAAATTCCCCATGCACCCTGGGGACATTACAAAAAATCAAAATACCTACCTTGGGGACTGCCCTCATAGTCAAATTTCCATGGCTAGCCAGACATCCCTCTTCTTCTTGGGCTTTATGTTGAAAGGTGCATTGAGAAAATGCCAATTAACTGAGAGAGGATGAGCTAAGCTTGCCATTGTATGAAGCATGAAATATAAAATTTTAGGTCAACTCCACTATCTGGTTCATAAAGTAATAGGCTCCTACATATAATCTACACCTATATAGAATGAATGTAGCACTATGATTTATAAATGTAAACAAAAGACACCCATCTTGGTACTCAAAAGGATTCAAACCCTGGAGGTGGTGGAGTCTGTACAGTGGTGTGAGAATGACATCTAGAACTACCTTTAAGATGTTGTTATTGGCCCATTTGTTCATACGATAAGAAAACACTTTTTAAAATTATTGGACAAAGGCAGGGTTCTCAGTTGAACCCGTAACCCGTAACACCTGTCACGGGTGTCACAGGTAAGTGTTATGGCTGTCAAAGTGCTTCAACTGTCGGAGACTTTGATCTGTGCGTGACACATGTCAGATGATGAGTGCGAACACTATGGACATTGAATGGTTTACATAATCAACGCAACCTTGAATGACCCTTTTAAATCAGTACTCGGCAACAACCAATCAAAATGTAGAAAATATCGTATAAGAGAGTGATTTCTTACAAATTTTGCAGAGTAGCTTTTTACACACCTGATGTAAATAAGCAAATACGAGAGCGAAATAAAACAGTTTAATTGAGTCTCGTTCGTCAGAGTTCTATCCCTAGTAAACAGGACAAAGTTTACAAAACGTGGCACCTCCGGCAACGCGACAATTCTGAAGGATAACAGTAAGGACAACTGTTGTGAGTATAATTTTAGTCCTGATTTTCCGCCCGTGCGAAGATTGCGGAGATGGAAGCGACTGAAGCGAATCTAGATATCAAAGTAACACAGCTTAAAATGAGCATTGGTAAAACGAACACCATCGTAGAAACAGGGAAGTCAGAAGCGATCGAAAGACATTTGTCCACCCTGCGGTCCCTCAGTAAAGAACTAAATCGAATGCGGATAGAAGTAGAAGCGACAAAACTAGGTGCGAAAGAAAAAATTGCCGACATCGAGGCGTGGAGCAGCGGAATCGACGCACAACTGGAAAAAGCGGATTGCGAAGTGGATAAAATGTGCACGTGGATCGACGACCGCAAAAGAGAAGCAGAAGCAATTGTCAAGCAAGAAGAACTTAAGTTTCACAAAGCGAAGATAGAGATGCAGGCAGAAATCCAAGTTGAGCCACACCCCCAACAAGCGACGACGACGCCAAGCGACATACAAGCCAAGCTGCCTAAACTGATGATAACGAAGTTTGACGGTACCTATATGGACTGGCCACGATTTTGGGGACAGTTCACAGAAGCAATCGATAAAACGGGCGCTCAACCGATCACGAAATTTACCTACCTTCGAGAACTACTGGATGTCAAAGTGAAAAGAGCAATAGAGGCGTTGCCCTTCACGGCTGAGGGATACAATCGGGCAAAGAGTATCCTAAGCGAGAGGTTCGGAAAGGAGTCAGAAATCGTCAAAGCTTACATCAAAGAGATTCTGGATCTCCCCTCAATATCAAGCCCAAACCCGAGAAAAATTGGTGAATTTAGCGAAAAGCTAACGTACTGTGTGCAAGCCCTGCAGACACTAAACAAACTGGAACAAGTCAATGGGGCGGTGTCTATGACACTAGACAAATTGCCAGCGATCCGCGGAGATCTCGTCCGGACCGACCCCGACTGGGAAAGCTGGGACTTTGCAAAACTTTCAGAAGCAGTTCGATTGTGGACCAGGAGAAATCCAATGGATATAAACCAGCGTGAGCGTGAGCAAGAACAGCAATCAACAAAACGGAACGTACGCCAGCAAGCAAGAATTTACCACACGCGTCGGGACGCCGATGGTAAACCCCGCTGTTGGCCTTGCGTTTACTGCGGCGAAGATCACAAAGCCATCGAATGTACAAGAGTGACACATGTCGCTGATCGCAGACAAATTTTACTAAATAAGCGTTTATGTTTCAATTGTGTGTCTGGGAACCACCGCGCGTTCTATTGTCCGAGCAAATCAGCCTGTCAACGCTGCCATAAGCGTCACCACACGTCGATTTGTGACACACCAAACCCGACAAGCCAAGTTAACCAGCCATCAGCACATGGGGTCGCTTTGACAACAAACCAAACTGGAGAGGGTCTGTTCCCAGTAGTCATCATAGAGGTCAACGGAATTAAATGCAGAGCGCTTATCGATTCTGGAGCCGGCAGTTCGTACGTGTCGGCAAAGCTGATCGAACTACTTCGCTTAAAGCCAACCGATGTCCAGACGAAAACGATCGATATGCTGATGTCCTCTAAAATTGCCAAACTCGAAGTCTACGATCTCGAATTAAGATCTGTCAACCATCAATTTTCGCTGTCCGTCAAAGCTACCAAAGTGAACAAGACAGAGTTGTTGTCTATTGAAAACCCTAATTATCGCACGCTAATTGAGAAGCACCCACACTTGAAAGGCGTAAATGTTTACGATGATGACACAAAAGCGTCTCTTCCGGTTCACGTGGTCCTTGGCAGTGGGGAGTACGCCAGAATTAAAACGGAAACAAAGCCAAGAATTGGACAAGAGAATGACCCTATCGCAGAACTCACCAAATTCGGATGGTTTCTGATGTCCCCGGGAAAGGAGTTTGACAAAAACATTATGCTTCTCACCCAGACAAGTCAAAGCAACTACGAAGATCTGTGCAGATT